CTCACGAAGTCTACGAACAGTACTGCGAGTTATCCAAGTCTCACGAAGTCTACGAACAGTACTCCGAGTTATCCAAGTCTCACGAAGTCTACGAACAGTACTCCGAGTTATCAGAATCTCTACACGACGTACGGTGGAACGTCAACGGGATACGGTGGTGTGACCTTACCTTCTCACACATCCGTCAGTCCCTTGAATCTGAGCCCATCTCCCAGCTACAACTATTTAAACCTAAACGTAAATACTCGGCCACATGTGCAAAAGACCGAGAGTTTTAGCAGATCCAAGGTAAAACCGAGTCTCAGTGTCGGATCGAGAAGTTCGAGTCTGCAGAGTTTAACTAGCTCTGAGGGATATGCTGTAAGCAACTACCTTGCCCGTATCCTAAATCTATACTGAAATACTTATAAAGCTTCCAGAATTTTCGAATATTTCCAAATGACGTTTTTATTAGACTATTATTTTTTTCCTAATATTTAAACGCATTCTGCAGTATATGCGAAAATAAATTGTAATAAATACGGATTCAATAATATACTTTTTGGCAATACTAATATTACAGAGTACAGAATTTTTCCTAAAAATTGATAAGAATTGAAAGTGACAGTCTTGATAAAAATTAATGATGTTTAATATTATATCTGTTTTAGAGCGGGAACGATCGTTCTGGGAGAGCCACTAGATTAGGTTCGATATCTTCGCTATCATCAGAAGCCTCATCAACACCAATCAGATTAAAATCCACCAGTTCCGAAAACGGCGAATTAGACTATAAGAAGCTATACGAGGAATCTCAGGTCGAGAACGAAAGGTTAAAGGAGAAACTGAAGCGCTCGGACGAACAATTAAAGGAAGTCAGGCATTTATTGGAAAAGACGCAAATCAACCAAAACAAAGTGATTCTCTCTGAGGCAGAGAAAAGGGAGAGGCGAGCCATGGAAAGGAAACTTTCAGAGATGGAAGAAGAATTGAAGGTAAGATCGCAGATTTGATACACTTTCTTTCATTTACGAATCTGTTATATGTATGCGAAAGCGAATGGAAAGAAACGCTTTCAATACATTGAATTGAACGATGAGGAGAGACTATATAGACGATGAGGAGGACGCTATATTGTCTGTGATTTTATGTGTACGAATATATATCGTATCAGTATATTTACAATTTTAGATTTTTTTCTTTAGTTAGTTACTACACCGTCATTTCTCTTATTTTTTTCTTGTTTTGCTGTGACCGCTAGCGGCAAGCAAACACAGCAATGATTATTTTTGTATACGAAGACCCGATCGCTTTTCGGTTATATATGCTTTTCCTTACCTGGCAATTTTGACGCAAATTGACGCTTTGCTCTCTTTCTTATTCTCTATTTCCGATTGATACTCGTTTTCTAATTTTTTTTCCACGGGAAAAACGAGTAATTTTCAGTAACCCGTCTCATATTTTCCCTGAGTTTCGCTTCTCAGGACTTCCGTAGCGTAATTTTCGCGGGGAATTGCACGCGATTTTGCTCGTCTGTTAATGGAACGCGAATTAGTTATTTGTTTTCTGGCTATTTTTGGGACTCGCAAAAACAGTGGCGGGGTTTTTAGGCTAATCGTTTAACTGTTTACAGCAATTGCAAAAGCTCAAAGCTGAAAATGAGAGATTGAAAGCCGAAAATCGGGCACTTACCCGCGTCGTATCCAAACTCACCAATACTAAATAGGTAAAGGACACAATGACAGCATCTGCGTTAACGATAGACATCGTATCTCACGTACAGCATTAATTAATTAATTACTTTCTTAATCGAATGATTAATTTATAATTTTGTGTTCTGATTCGCCAATATTAAAACAGAAACGATACTCATCATACTTATCGTACAAATCAGCTTTGCAAAGTGCATTTCAACATATAACGCGATCGTTAATCAGTCTTTAATTAGAAGTGTCAATTTATTTGTATAAAAGAGATACTTTTTAGGCTTACTACAATATATATATATATATATATATATATATATATATGTATGTATATATCATTCTGGATATTGCAATCGATATTTATAGTATTTATAAAGTCGTATATCTTCTTGTGTGATACTAGCAATAATAGCAGTTTTATTTCTGCAATGTATCAAGGCAATTCTCTTATACATATATAATTACGTATATAATAACGTTATATACATATAAAATTTTACGAGATTGTTACAAAATTTCAAACGTGATAATGGTAATAAATTATCATTATATAATGATAATAAATTATCCCGGCTGATTGTGTGATGCATGTTACAAATAAATTATTTGATAATACATTTACTAAAAAAAAAGAAGCAAAAGTTTTTAACAAGAAATAAGAAGGAACGCAGTCTGTCATTTATAAGATGCATTTATAAGATGCATAGGAATGAATATATAGCTATCACAATTTTAACTTTAGGAAACTTTCCTCCATGTAAAACCATCATCCAACATGCAGAATAACATCAGTAAACTGAATGCCATCACCAAGCATCGAATAATCATTTTAGCACGTGTTTCACATGAAAAACAAAGCCATGACTCTGCAGTTAATTATTCTTTTTTCAGTTTATTCATCTTAATCATAACCGTGTGAAAGTTATTAAATTCCCGAAAACACATTCGACCGTTAAAATCAACACATGTTACACTCTATTAACTTAGATTTTTCACCACTGTCTCTCCCTCTATCTCTCTTACTCTTTAAGGAAGCATGTTAAATGTTAAATTGTTGCACTTTTATTGCACTTTATAGACTTTAAGAAAATGGTCAATCTCCACGAAGTTGACATTAATCCTTTTTTAACGTATGTTATATTGCATATCGTTATTTCATGGTATGCACTAGAAAGCTTTCATATCAACGATATTATTTTGTAGTGTTCTAAAAGTGCTCAACAAAGAATGTGAAAAATGATTACAGTCTTACAGTCAGTTGCAACTGTAACATAAAATGATTTCTTGCATTCACATATGAAATGCCCCTAAGACTTGAAGTCAAATCGTTGTATTAATTAAGATTATGTACGTCGTCTAAACTGTCAACTTAATTATTCGGTAATTGAATCTCGCTTAGATTGTGTATAAATCCGAGGATAAATTTTTTAAACGACACGAACTTTATTGTAAAATGTTTGTATGAAAATTTAATTTATTTCATATGTCGGATTTACGTATAAACAGTTTATCCGAGCTGTTATTTGGATCAATCCAATGTTGATTAGATGTAAACGATTGTTATGAAGGAATACTTGTGTACAAATGGAATGGTACTTGAAAGAAATAAAGTTTATTGATTCTGGTATTATATATAGTACGAAGAAACGCATTTCATAAATCGATGACACGCTTTTTGCTATTCGCGATCATTTCTCAGTTTCTTTTATCTGTGTCATTATCTGAACATTTATTAATTTCTGCTATAGTATACACTACCCGAATACTTTAATGACTTTTGGTTGCAGTAATATTTGTGAGTGCCTCTTTCCATTTATCCTCCTGTTGTTTTGTGAGCACTGAAATTATTCCGTCTATAACGGCATCATTTCTTTGTACTCTCCTTTATATAATGTTGCGTTTTCTCAATTTAGCGCATAAGAATTAGTGTGGCATTTTTTTTTCTAGGTGATGGACCAACTAAAATGCGAAAATCAGAGGCTAAAAGATGAAAACGGTGCCTTGATCAGAGTAATCAGCAAATTGTCCAAATAAAATCTTGTAGTCTCAACTGCACATCGTAAATGAAATTTTAAGTTGTATTACAACTATGTTGAATGAATTGCTTTAATTATAGCAGCATCATCATTATCGCTAGTATTCTTATAAATGTGCATCATGCTATCGATGAATTTAACTTTGTAGTAACTTAACTTATTCCAATTATGAGATCAATTAATCGCATGGCTGTGCCAAAGGCGAAAAGAAATGTTACTCCTATTCTTAGACTGTGAATACTTGATTGTAAAAGACTTAGAGGAGTTTTACTTTTGTGGAATTATTTTTTAATGTCAGAAAGATGAATTTTATAATCCAATAATATATAAAATCAATTTAATGCTTTATAGTGGAAAAAAGTCAGGTTTATTTTATTTGACTATTAGGAAGAGAAGAAAAAAGAACTGTTGATCTTTATGGACAGTTTTTCTTTTTTAACAAATCACGTTATCAATGTTGATTCTTTATAAGGACATTTTGTAAATACGGATAAATAGACAATGGTGATGTGGCATTTTTAGTAATTTGAAAAGAGAATTTTTACCCGCGGAGTGAGCTTTTTGAAAGCCGCTGACGGCATACGAGCAAATCCATAATATTAACGAGTCTGTTTGCATTGTCGAAGCAATAAGCGATATATCTGTTACTTTTGACTAAATTACGCAGGTGGTAAAGAAGAAGTCAAAGAACATGACCTTTGCTACTCAAGTGGCCTTTCTCTGAAGACTGCAATTTGTAAAACCTTCCATCATTGCCATTTTTGCAGTATAAGCAGAAATTTGATGCATATATACGGGAGTAAATGTTTTTAATTACTCTGTGTAATATAATACATTTTCTTATATAATATCACAGATATGTAAAATATACTTTAGACACTTCGGGATTTTTAATCTCCTTAAAGTGCTAAAAATTACGTTAGAGCTGTGGTAACTTCAGTTCGAACTGTTGATGTAGAATCTGTGTTATTATTTTTAACTACCTGTCCAATATAAAAAGCTGTTACCTATTATTTTCTTATAGCAACAACAATAATGATTGTCCAATGTGCTCTGGATAAAGACGAATTTACAAATATTGGACCGTGTAATTGACAGTTGGCATGTTTTTTAATGATATTATTGTAAACAATTGTAAAAAAGAATGACTCAATGTAGTTATTTCGTAATGAAGTTTATTAGAAAATAATACTTGTGTAAATATTTAATATATAGGCTTATATGTGGACCTTACTTTTATTATTTTATAAACTTAAGTCGCATCGATAGTGAAATTTCCTTTTATATATACGTAATACATTTTTTTTTTAATATTTATGTTGATAAAGATTCTTATATAATATAATGTGATTAATCAGCAATATCATATACAGTAGAAGGTAAGTAATTAATAAAATTACTTTTAATTAATCAAATTTGAATGTTTTATTTACAGTATATCATATCACACAATATCATTAATAAATTTATAATTTATTGTAGTCTCCATTTCATGATTTCAGTAATCGTTCCATAATTTTTGCAACCATAGCCAAATCTGCACGTTCTTCCGTAACCTTTGCCATTTCTCCCATTAATACTTTAAATAACTTCTTCTTGCCATTTTTATATCCTGATACAAGTTTGGGATTTTTCTCTATAATTTCTAAACATATCTGTTCTAATTGCTTCTCGTCTGATATAAGGAACCAATTGTGCTCTTCAGCGATCTACGTATAACAAAGGTTTATCACAAAAGATAATCATATAGGTATAAATTAATAACATTGTTCAAGCTGTAAACTCTGTAAATTTTTCATGAAAAGAAGTGAGATTTTTACCTCTTTTGGTGATTTATTTGAATTAGCTGTTAATTCTTTCAAAACTTTTTTTGCCGTTATTAAGTTAATTAATTTATTTTCTAATAAATCAGTCAATTGACCAATAAAATCCTCGTGTTGTATACTGAAAAATTATTAGATGAGCATTTTTCGAGCATTCAAGGATATCTCAATTTAATAAAAGAAGAGACTTACCCAAATTCAATCGTTAGTTTATTTTTATAGAGAAAAGTCAGCAGATCCATGACGAGAAACTTGGCGACCAATTTTGGCTCGCGATTCTCTTTTTTTTTAATTATTCCATTAAATAATTGTAATAATGCGAAATCACTCTAAAAATATATAAAATATCAAAAACAATCTTTATATTTATTTGATTATATCGAGATTAGAGCATATCAAGATTTACCATTAAAGCTATGATTATTTCAGAAGATAACTGAAGACTGTCCTTTAGTCTCTGACGTATCTGTTCTGGCAACTCGGGTAGTTGTCTTCTCAGTACCACAGCATCGACTAAATTGCTTTTATTTGGTAAATCTTCTCTAACATGTATGCATAAAGGTGGCAAGTTTGTTTCAGGCATAAATCGGTAATCCTGAAAGTGGAAGCGTTTATAGCGAATTTAACACCCATGCATACAGCACACTTTATCCGAGGGACGTCCCCCGGACAATGTGTGCTCTATGGGCAATAAAAGCGATGTAAAATCGAAATGTCATATTACTTCTTTGTCTTCTTTTTCACGCATAGGAATAGTTCTTTTGTTCACCGTGTCCCATGCGCGAGTCTCATTGAACATCTCGTCACCGGCCTCGAGGATAGAAATATGCCGATTTATTTCATACTGAACAGCCGCAGCGACACCGCGCACGCTTCCGATATTCTTTATTTCCGTCCGAACGCCTAAACTGTCCCGGTTGCTTACAGAAACGTTGGCATCCACGCGAAGTGCTCCCTCTACAATTCAAGGGCAATAAAAGACATCAAAGAGTTGTACTCATAAATAACTTGTATATAATTTCTGCAAACCTGACCTTCCATTTTGCCGCTACAGACACCCAGTAACTGCAATGTAAATGCAAGCTCCTTCACAAGCGCGGCCGCTTCCTCACCATCGACCAAGTCTGGCTCAAACACGAATTCCATCAAGGGTATTCCGGCACGATTGAGGTCAATCAGGCTTCTACAAGAATATCAAGTAAAAAATTTAATTGGAACACTGTCTCAATTTTCTTCATTTCTGCCAACTTTCGAACGGAGTCGAGTAGCCATCAGTTTAATTACCTTGCCGCATTCTCGTCGTGCAAACTTCTGCCACTGTCCTGCTCCAACTGGATCTGCTTGATCTTGGAAGATTTCAGGTACGGAGACTTATGCAGCCCCGGAGTGAACACGTGAAACTTAATTTCGCCATTGACCGCGATAGGTTGTCCTTGTTGAGTGATTTGAAACCCCGCCTAAATAATTTGCAACTAATGAAGACGAAAACGAGTAAAAGTCTTGTCTTGCGATAGCCCCATCACTCACAGGCAAGTCCGCGTAGAAGTAGTGTTTCCTCTCGAACAGGGAAGTCTCGTTCAATCGGCAGGACAGCGCCAGGGCGGTCAACACCGCCGATTCCACGCATCTTCTGTTCAGCACCTGCAACACGTTCGTATCTGCGACAATAAATTAATATTCATTTGCAAGTTTATTACAGTTGAATTATTTTTAGGTGTCCGAGAAAGAGAGCCCCTTCGATAAACTGTAGTCGCGATATTAATAACTTACAGGTAGCGTTCCCGGTGTGGCGCAATCGAAGAGCGAGACGCACGAGTTAACCGGCCTGGCGAAATCGGTGGACGCGCTGGAAAACAATTTCGATTCCGTGGCAATCTGAGCGTGGACCTCCAAACCCACGGTGGATTTCCATCTCTCTCTAATTACCAAAAAGAGGTAGGGCAATTAATCACTCGCGGTGAATGTTTACCTTAACCTCTCACTTTCAATTCTAATAAAAGTTTGCCTATTCGATTGCATTTAACGTGAAAAAATAAGTATTTAATTAACTATATACTATACTGATATGCAACTGCAATCGCCTCGGGGGCAACACAGAACTGTTTACATTCGTAAACATTAATCATAACCTAGTTGCTCACCGTACTTTCACATCTTTTTGATTCTCGGACGAGAGAAGTCGCCGTGGAAGATTGCTATTTCGTTTTCGAATCCATTTATGCGCGAAAGTGAGACATAATTGTCGCCTTGACAACATTTTTCATTGATTTTCTGGCATAAAATTCTGAAAAAAAGCCATGAGTTCTTCAAGAAAAACAATGATGCAGAATTGCCAATTGCTACTACAGCCACTACAGGAAGTTTCGTGTGTCAGTATCCGGTCGTTGAACCGACATTTTGAATTTAGAATCATATTTTTTTTATACAATAACTATATGGAAATATTTTTAACTTTTTTTAACTGTCTATGCAGCTATTTTCTCTTTATATCTATGTATATAGCTATTAAAAAAAAGGGTTCTAAGTTAAAAATATTTAGTTACAAGGTTTTTTCTTTTTCTAGATTTATATATATAAAACTACAGTAGAAAATATGATTCTAAACTGAAAATGTAATTGTAAGCCAGATCAGAAGTTTAATTACAGCTTTTTTTTCATATCTAGAATCAATTCGATGCGATTCGACTTTTTTATGTAGGAGAAATAAAATATATATATATATATAGTCACGTACGACGATACTTTAAACAACTTATTTGTTTATTTGTGAATGTAGAAAATATCTGTTTAGGTACAAAATTTATCGTGCGATGCAAGTATACGTAGTTTTTAACAATTAGAGTAGAAACAATCGTTATCTATTACTTGTTGATTGTTGCTTCAATGCTTTATGACCTTACAAAACGCTTCGTTTCGTTGATATCGCTGCTTCGTTAGAACACTGTCGTTAGACGGCCGTTCGCGAGACGTACGGAGATTGTCGCGTTGTTACCACTCGTCCATTCAGAGAAACACACAACTAGGCTGTTTAAAAATCATCTTCTCGAGAGATCGTTTTGTATGAGATAAAGAGATCATAAAGAGTAATGAGGCTATTGGCGAGTGTGCTGAGATTTACTCAGTGGCGTCTTCCTTGGACACGCTAAATGGCTCCGCTACGGTCTCCGCGCCGCTGTCGGCGATGACCACGTCCTTGCGCGGCTTATCTCGCGAGTCGGTGCTCGTTTGCTCAATCTTGCGCACTATATCCTGCAGCAGAATAATGTAATTGCGTTATTAATGAGAATATAAAGTCAACATCGGATATTGGAGATTGATGATTGCGAATTGGAGATTAGAATATATATATATTCAATCAGTTGGATAATTTTAATTTTAATCCGTTTCATTCTATTTAATTGATTGAATTCTACTCTTTTTAATTCGCAATCCTCAATCTTCAACGCCTAGCCTTCGATACAGGCGTTATTTATCTTTGTTTTGTCGGCGTTCTTACCATTCCTTTAATAATTTTGCCGAAGACGACGTGTCTACCGTCGAGCCACGGCGTTTGCTTGACCGTGATGAAGAACTGAGACCCGTTGGTATCCTTGCCGGCGTTAGCCATCGACAGCCAACCGGCGCCGTAGTGCTTCAGCTTGAAGTTTTCGTCCGCAAAGCGATCCCCGTAGATGCTGCGACCTATAATGAGCAAGAGATTAGAGATCGGAATCGCGCCATAGTGTTAAACAATCAAGAATAAAGACCTCCGGTGCCATCGCCCTTCGTGAAGTCACCTCCCTGGATCATGAAGTCTTTGATCACCCTGTGGAACTTGCTGCCCTTGTATCCTTCACCTTCCGGCTTCTTGGCGAGCTCCACGAAGTTCTTGACCGTCTTCGGAACGGTTTTGCCAAACAGACCGATCTCTATTCTGCCCTCGTCGACATCGCCGATCTTGATTTCGAACCATACCTATAAAAAAAATTCGAAAATCGAGTTTGAATTATTGATTAATTGACGTTAAGTCGTAAACGGTTTTTTATATATATTTTTTTTTTTTTGTCAAGAGATATACCCGGGGCGAGTTTGACTACCGGACAAAAGGCATTGTTCGCAAGTGACGCACGGATCTTTCCGTATGTGCAACAGAAATATCACACGCCGGCGGCGGCGGCGGTGGCACGTTAGAACAAAGTGCCACGTATTCACGGTTTATGTCGTATTCGCGTATCAGCCGCGTTTCGCAGATCGTGCCTTCCGCCGTGTACCTCGTGAGTGATAACCGCACCGTTATACCTTATCGGTGACTTTCGGTCCGTTGCTCGCGCAGGAGACAGCGGCTACCAAGCCCAGCAACAACAACAGCCTCATGGTGCTCCGGACGATGGAGAAATCGCAACTGTCCGATCCCGCGGCAGCCTGTCAACCAGTGGACCGCTACCGGATGCGACCGACAGTGCCTCTCGAGCGTGCGTACGTACGCGTGTGCACGCTTAGAAATGTGGGAGCGTCCAATTGGCCCGTTTCCCCCCGGCGGTGACGTACAGTGAGAGCGAGTGAGAGGGCCGCCGCTACGAGGGCCCGCGAGAGGCAATAAATGAACAAAATGCATTCGATTGGCCCAATTCGCGTAATAGACCCGAATTGCATTTCAACTGCAATTCGAGTAACTGCAGTACGAGCCTAGGGCGCGGAGATGTGTACGATAAATTGACAATTTTCACTTCTAACGGTTCCTCTTTCTAATTGAACCGAACGGTCAACTTATACTTTTTTTTTTATCTTTAATTCTGAGAATTAGAAAATGATCGGGAGTAAATTAAATCGAGATCGAGAGAAAGTTATAATCTACTTACATCGGTAAAAATGGGCATGAGAAATCTTAGAATGATATTTTGATATTTCTTGTATTTAAAATCATCTTTAATACGACCTCGAGAAAGTTACACATTTGGTTGGATATACAGCTTTAATAATTAATTAAAAATAAATAAAATTAAAACGATCTTAAACGCGATATATTAAATAAGAATTAATATAGTTTAGATTCGAAATTGTGATATTGAAAATTTTATCAAACTTACGCTCGTTTAATATTTCGCATATTTCAGCTCATATTGGCGAAGAACAATTCTTTGCCTTCGCGTTCGAGGAATACATAAGACAAAAATCAATCATTCGATCTACAGGAATTGATACACACGAGGAACGCAATTTGCGTTTCTCATGTGTATCAATTTCTATAGACCGCATGAGTGCTGATTTTTTTTATTATGCGACATCCAGAACTTAAATCTTGCTAATATCCGAGTTTGATTCAGAACGGGAGAACTGGAGAACAAAATTTAAGGTGATAGTGACAATCAGCGAACACTTTAAATTTGTGCATTTGTTTTTTTTTTCGTTTACAAATCATGGAACAGAAGTGTCTTAATTTAATTTCATTTGTTTTTCTTTTTTTTTTTTACAAAAATCAGCATGCAATAACTTATACATGCTGCTGTTTTTTTAATTTCGTCAAATCTTATTCGAGATACTTAAATAGCTGGAATACTTGGCAATAAAAACGAAGATTGTATTTTTTTTTTGAAGTTACGTTCTTTTAATCGATTCAGACGCGAAACACCGTGGGCTTCGATAGATCATACCACACCACTGGCGAAGCAAATAAACAGTAAAGTGTTGCAAGATCTAACTCGCGCGAAAGTTCACAGGTGTCACGAAGTATATATACAATTTACTCGTAATAAATAGGTTACGTGTACGGTATATAATTTAAATACCAACTTGTGCCGAGGGGAGAGATATTTTTCTTTCATCGCGATACTATACATATAATGTTCCTTTTATCCCGCACCTCTCACAATCAGATTGATCGACATTAAATAAAAATCAAATTATAATCTGCCGTCCGGTTTTTTTTTCAAATACTTAATCTCGATTGATAAAGGTATAAATCGATGCCATGTCTGTTACTCAAGTTTTGTCGAAAGTGAACGACAGACTGTGATTATATTATTTTAGTATATCAATCGAGTTTATCAACATGCCTCCTTTTTATTTCCATCCTATAATTGGAGCATTTTCCGCCGCAGACAAATTATTCCGATTTTTTTGCCAATGTCCCGATTAATTTTCTTATCTTTTTTATGGTATTTTATTGCATTATCTAGCATATGATTATTTTTAAACGATAATTATTTTTTAATTCTTGGAAAAAGGAGTGGTAACATTAATATTATTTCTTTTTTCCTGGAATGAGAAAATTAAGAAAATTGATGTAATTATAAATCTAAGGTAACTGCAATGCATATGTCGATGATATAAAATAATGCTAATAATAGTAACACTGACAACAATTGAGTCGAATATCTTAAATTATGTATGTATAATAATAAATAAATATAAAACGTATAAATCAATGAAGCAAACATATGAAAAGGGACAACTTAAATTAAACATAAATTAATATAATCGCAGTGATCAATTTATTAAATAATACTCCTACTGTTTTGTTAACGCATTAAAATGATTAACATATAGCTATGTAATTCACCGGATCGATAGTCGAATCGTTTGAATTATTTCGGAGGTTCCCGAAGGAATCACCTCGTAGATTCTCGAAGAATGAAGATTCATAAAAATTGTTACATGAAGTCCCGTCCGAGCGGGTTCGCAAAAAAACTTATGCAACTATGCACTTGAGAAATCAGTCAGTCACGTTTTCGAAGGATATAAGAGATATAAATATTTTTTTATAACTCATTTACTGTATCATTATAATTAGGTTATATATATATATATATATATATTAATTGATACTGATCGAAAGGGTTTGATCGAAAGCGATTGTTGACATCATATATTTCTGATTGGACGAGGTGAGTATACATATGACGTTATAATTAATCGCTCTCAGAGCAATTAATTATAACGTCATATATATACTCTCCTCGTCCAATCAGAAATATATGATGTCAACAATCGCTTTCGATCAAACCCGCTCGGGCCGAAAACGCTATTAAATTTAGAAATGACGAATTGTATCAATTAAAATATTTTTGGGCAATTCTATCGGTTAGAGGTTAGATAATTAAAAAAGAAGTAAGAGTTAAGATCTATCTCAATCTATCTTCTCAAACTTACGTAGCCAAACACATGAAGAACGTAAACAACATAACATCCTTACGTCAAACACTTAATTTTAATTAATTAATAGTTAATTTTTCTGTGCAGATACATTACAGCTATGCAAAGTTTGTTTTGATGTCCTTGATGGGCCTTATGCCCTTAAGACCCGGTTGGTAGGTTGGTTTAAACTTTAACGTATGATAACCAGTGAGAAAAACCATCTACTGGGGACAAAAGAAATCCCTAGAGAACACGCGTTCCTATTGGGAATCGCGCGCGTGTGAACTCTTCATTATCCACATGATGGATTTGGAATAAAGCATTACGTGTGTACGCGCGTGAAAATCGAGAATCAGATGTTGAGTTTGACAGCCTTGAGAAACACGTCATATTTTTGTCCATCTTGGACAAATCTACTTCAATTATGTACAACTGAAATATAAGACAAGGTTACAATTTTCCAATACAAAGAATTTTCTCCCTCGCTGAATAAAGCCTTGCAAAAATATTTACATTGCCATTTACAATGGTGTTTATACATTTATATATAACCTTAATGATACAGTAAATGAGTTATCAAAAAAAATATTTATATCTCTTACATCCTTCGAAGACGTGACTGGCTGATTTCTCAAGTGCATACTTGCATAAGTTTTTTTTGCGAATCCGCTCGGACGGGACTTCACGTAACAATTTTTATGAATCTTCATTCTTCCAGAATCTACGAGGTGATTCCTTCGGGAACCTCCGAAACAATTCAAACGATTCGACTATCGATCCGGTGAATTACATAGTTACTTTCGAGTGGCAGGAGTCCCGCAGGACACACGTGTGTGACGTGTGTTTTTGTGTCGTATTGTCGTGACGTTTATTCCAACAGAATACGGATTACGGTATATGAGAAGTTGTTTCTTCCCTGTGTCCGGCTCTTCGAAATGACCACCACCTTCCACACCGCCGAGGTAAGAAGGAGAATGGTAGAATGCAATAAAGTTTCTGTTTTGTTAACTGAAGCCGTTAAGCCGATTTCAGTAACGGTTTTTATCACGCAGTAACTAGTATCTTTCATTATTTTGCTTATTCATTCTCGTTATCGCTGCGCTAAGTATTCAACGCTTGGAATAAGATTACGAACAGGAGTCCTCGTACAGCGTTTATTTCGATTTAAAGCAAGCCTAGAAAAAAATACCCTGCGTTAAAAATTTTTGAGGTAGCTCGAGAGAAAGCTTTAGAAAAAAATTGCCACGCGAAATTTTCGTGATCTTTCAATAAATTATATCCAATAAATTTACAAGTATTATATACGTTTGTAGATTTGTAATACATAAGACAGCTTTATTTTTTCAAAAAAAAATCGAGAAAAATCCATTATGCTTGTAGAAAAATGATTTGTTATTTTATCGAGTATAAATAATGTAATTTTTTTTTTGTCTAAGATGGACGAAAGTACGATATTAGAGGAAGAAACTCAGACTGATACATCTTCAGAGATATTTGATGATTACGATGATGAAGAGCTATTATCACCTGCACCTTCTTCGGAGAACCAATCTAAGGTGAATCAACCTAAAGAGGATCAATCTAAGAAGGATCAACCTAAGGAAGATCAACCTAAGGAGGATCAATCTAAGGAGGATCAATCTAAGGAGGATCAATCTAAAGAGGATCAACCTAAGGAGGATCAATCTAAGGAGGAGGAGTCATTAGATATACTTGGTAATGGTCAGCTGAAGAAGAAAGTTCGAAAGAAAGGCCAGAAAGATGTAAAGCCGCAAAGAGGTGATATATGTACACTAGAAATGATTGGTATGCTTGACGATGGGACAGTAGTGGAATATAATGATAACATGTCGATACAAGTAGGGGACTTGGAAGTAGTACAGGTATTATAACTGCTATCACAATTTTGATTAATTATATCATAACTGTCAGTATCTTATACGATACCATCGAACTCTACAGGGATTGGACCTAACGATTGTATTGATGGAATTGGGCGAAGTTGCCGAAATTCGAGTTGATCCTAGATTTGCTTATGGCACACGTGGCGATGGATCTGTACCACCTAATGCTACTGTTACATACATGGTTGAATTGAAGGCGATAACAGATGAGCCTGAGATAGAAACTCTGAGCATTCGGGAAAGAAGAGAAATAGGGTAATAATTTTATTTATAAGTCACATATAATTGAACGTTACTTGTTTCCTATAACTAAACACTGTTCAAGGCTAAGGCTTTATATTAAGGTTTACCCTTTTGATTTTTTGCATCATGTAATTTTATTTCTTTAAAGTAACAAGAAACGCCTACGTGGAAACTGGTGGTTTATTCGCAAGGACTTTACTTTCTCGATACAGTGCTATCGGAGGGCGTTAGACTATCTAGAAATAAAGAACAGTACAAAATGGAATAAAAATGAAGCAGAGACGGTTACCGATACTGAATTGCAGATCCTGTTGGATGATAGCTTAAAAGTGCATAACAATTTTGCTGCTGCATTAATTGAAATGAAAAACTACCATGGTGCTTTAGATCATGTAGAAACAGTTCTGAAGTTTCAACCAAAAAATACGAAAGCTCTATTTAGGAAAGGTAATAAAAAATATCTTATCTAAAGTTTTTATTTCTATTTTGTCTTCTTTTAAATACAAGCTAACTTTTTTATATTAATGATTTATATTTTACGCAATTGTACGTATCTCTATATATATTTACAGGAAAAATATTTAAAATTGAAAACGAATATGGAAAAGCTTATGCAACTTTCCTTGAAGTGCAAAAGTTAGATCCAAACCTGAAGTCAGTACAGGCGGAATTGATGAGTTTAAAAGAAAAAATTTCAAAACAGAGTAAGCAAGAAAAGAATCTGTATGCTAAAATGCTAGGTATAGGGACAGAGAAAGATGCTAAGCACCCGTCAAAGAATACAAAGGTAAAAAATAATAGTAAAATTGCTAAAGGAATTTTATGGACTCTGCTTGGAGCATCTGCTGCTGTTGTCGGTATACTTATACACAGATTTGCTTCGTGAAAAAGAAAAAAAAACAGACAAAACCAGTTAATGAGGTACAGAACCTATTGTATTTTTTTTCAATAACAGAAACATATTAATTTAAATATTATAAAATTTTATAATTATATAATATTAAATTATATATTTCTGATATTTCTAATATATTTGAGATGAACTAATAAATGGTAAACCATAAATGCAAAAAAAGATTGTTGTCTTCTGGTTGTGTATATATATATATGTATATATATGTACATATATGTGCATATGTATATACACATAGCATTATACATTACATATGTATATTTACGATAATTTTATCAGAGTTACTGATTATATCGTAAATAATTATATTTAAAAAAATGTTTATGATATTTCAAACGTATAGGTATTACAATTTTACAATATATTAAAAATTACAAAGCATATAGTTTTTTTAATATTTCAATATGCTCTATTGAAGTAATGTACATAATTGTTAATTAAATATGTAAGTGCATTATATCAAATTCTTTTAATCTTGAACAGATTAAAAGGTCGAATAAATTCTCGATTTCTCCTGCAGTTTACACAGTTTATGTCTAAATAATACACAAAATTAAAATTATATATGTATCATTATGATAACTCGCTAGTTTTCATTTTACACAGGCGTTGTTAAATAGAAAATGTAAAATAATAAAAGAATAATGTAAAAAGGAAAGTTTTGTTAACTTTTACTGGCTTAACTGATCGAGAGTTTATCTGTATGTAAAATTTACATCTATACAAAGAAAATGTTAAGAGTTTAATTTCATATTGATATTATGTTTTTTATATATTTAAAAATCAATTTTGAATAATAATAAATTTTAAATCAAAGTATTATTTGTTTTAAAATTAAATAAGAGACTAATATACATTATTTTATAATATCACATTGTCATATCTTTTATTTGTGTAAAATAAGTTTATATATGATACATATTTAACTTTGTGTACATTCTAGTAGTTAAATAAAATTTTACATTTCAATATAAAATAAAATGATACTTATATAACTCTGAAAATGTGTTTAGATGTTGTGCTATTGTATGAGGTAATAAAATTTTTCTATTTTGAAAGAATATATATTTATTCATCTTGAAAAATCAAAATCAAATGTTTCACATCTTGTGGTATAAAAAAATATATCTTATAAAATTAATAACATTTTCCGTTATTAATGAAATAAATAACATTTTATATTTTAATAAAATACGATAACGTAGTAACATATTTTAAATTTAGACAACCATTATGTGTTGCCAATTAAACTATAATATATATATATGCGCTTTTCTATTCTGTAAATCTTCAAATATTAAGGAATGCTGGAAATTCATGAGTTAAGTAGCTTTCTATCGTTTCCATCTTACTAGTATTGCTTACAAGTGGAAACGAGCCTTCAATATTTTCCAACGATATCTCCGAATAATTCGTATTGTCATAATACATTTGATCAGTGTTCAGAAGGCTACTTTGAAATTCTATATCTTGATAATCCGGTAAATTCAGTATTTCATTGCAATTTGTTCCAAACTGATCAAGTTCATTAGTAGGTAACAATTCCGAATTATTGGTGATTTCTACAGTAAGCACTTGTCCCGTGTTTACATCTACTAACGAAAAAACTTGTGGAATAGACTCGACAGCAGATAAGTTCGTAGGTTCTAGCGGCAAGTTTGAGCATTCGGTGTTTTCTTCAGGATTTAATAATGACTGCATTTCCTGTTGCAAATCAACATTTACAGCCTGTTTCCTTACATTTGTAACTGAGCAATCTTTCTCTTTATTTTTTCCAATTGATTCGCGTCCTTTTTCGACTTTCACTTTGTTAGTTTCCGATCTGTTTGGTTTATCTGGCACAGGCACAAGGTGACCATCCTTTGTTTTCATGAGCTTTACCACCTTAAAATTGTATAATTATGAATATATAGATATATACATATATAAAGTATATATCTTAAGTGAGAGATTATATCAAAGATTCTTTTTTACCTTTTTCTTTTTCTCCAACGTAATTCTGTGACAGGTTTCCATGTGACGAGTCAGATGGTGCGAGCGTTTGAACGCGGTGCTGCATTGCATACAGGCGAACGGCCGATGCTGCTCGTGCGACAGTTTATGTCTCTTCAGTAAGCTGTTCCTCTTAAACGCTTTGCCGCATTCCTCGCAGATGAACTGCCGCTCCTTGCTATGAATATAAAGCACATGATCCTTGAGGATGCTGACACTGGTAAACGTCTTGCCGCAATGCTCGCACACGACATTTCGCTCCTCCACGTGCAGCTGTTTGTGCCTGTCCAGATCTGTCCTTCTGGAACACTGAAACGTACACCCGTATATGTTACAGGCGAATCGCTTTGCGCCCTTGTGTATGCGCCGGACGTGCTGATCCAGGGCTCTTTGCGTGATTAATTTCTTCGAGCAGATTGCACAGGAAAATATAGCCCTTACGGGTATGTCCCTGTTAACTTTATTGAGATGCAGCGCGGACTCCAAGTGTCGGAAATAGTCGTCTTTCTTTGCGAATGTGTGTCTGCAGTCAGCACAGAAATATGGACCTGTAAAACAATATGTCATTATTACTTTACAAATAAGAAAGGTGAACTCATCTCTTCTGTCTATCGATATAATTTCAATATATTCGTCACCGTTCATCGACTCTTGCTCGCTCGATTTTGAAGCGTGAGCCGCCTTAAAGTGCTCGTGCGCCTTCTTCTTCGACGCGAAAGTAACGTCGCAGCGTGGACACTTGTAGTTGTCGTGATTCTGAATGTGGGATAAGTACGTTTGCTCGATGCTGAACGTTTGCAGGCATCGCTGGCACTTGAACCGCCTCCTCTTACAGTGATTCTCCCTGTGCTCCTTCTCGTCCGTATCCACGCTCATCATGTCTCCGCACTCCGAGCACACCTTACCGTCTTGATAGCTGTGCTTCGCTCTGTGACGGTTCAGTAGGGCGCGCTTGGGAAAGCTCTTCGGGCACACGTCGCACGAATGAGGATGCCTGACCACCCTCTCTCCGTGCGCGCGAAACAGATGGACCTCCAGGTGCTTCCGTCTGGCGAATTTCTCGTTGCAGTGAGGACAATTATTTTTCTGATGACCCTCCAAGTGACGATCCAAATGCCTTTTGTATCTGAACGTCATCTGGCATTGCTCGCACCTCTGAATCTGTTCGTCTCTGTCTGACAACTCCAGATTATTTATCTTCATCTCACGACGCAATTCGGATGTGACACTTTGAATCACATCATAACTGTTGCCTCTGTTGATATTAGAATCTGTATCTGTATTACTTTCTATGTAAGGTTTGACAGAACAATTGTAGTTCTCTGTAGCTTTCTTTCCTTCTAACGATTGATCTTTGTCGAACGTATAGGATTCATTATTACGAATAGTTGTTGCCACGTTGTCTGATTCTTTGCCCGAGCTGTCTGAAAAATTCGAGAAGCTCAGATTCATTGTGTTGAAATGTGGCGAGTGTGGAATATCAACATCCCCAGAGACGTTCTGTTTCGCTTCTTCTTCCTCTTCGCTTTTTGTACAATTTGAGGGCTCCTCGGTACCTTGCAGGAGCAAGCTTTCGATTTTCATAAAATTGAAATCAATACTGTTCAAATTAACATCGTCCAAACCGTCGTCTCCCTGTAAACTGATGTCTGCGGCACTCGTGGGATTGGCTGGTAGATCGATCCCAGAGCTCTTACTCTCGAGATTGCCGATGCACTCTCTCAGGTAATCGTAGCTCTCCATCTCGTCATTTTCCGTGCACACACTTGGCATGACATCCAGGGTCGAGTAATCCTGAAAGGTAGGCAATTTTCAATAGAAACTCAGGTAGCGAGCTAATGTTACTTGTCGTCATTTTGCTTCATCAATGACGTATTTTTTTTCAAAATGGCAAAATAACGATAAACGATCAGCTTGTTGTCTGAAAAAGTGGCTAAATGACATATAAAGTGACAACCGCGGCGGTGTGTGTTCCATAAGAGTAACGTCTCGTAGAGAGCCTCACCTCGCTGTCGAACAAACGTAGCGTCATCATTCCGGACTTGTGGTGCCTCAATAATCGAATCTGGTATTTACACGTGAATGCGATTGTTGTACATCAAGAGACGCTGTATTTGACTCGTTACTCTGCTGAGAGGATTATGCCGAAGATTCATAAAATTACCCGAATTCCTCGAAACATCCGTGGGAAAGTTACACAACGCATAACCTAAAAAGAGCTGTGTAAAAAGCTGAAAGTGTCCTTACTGTACTATAGATATGCATATATATTGCGCATGCATATTGAAAATGTAATATGGATTGTGCTACTTTCGAAACGAAAAGAGGGATAAAAATATTAGTTACTTCTGAAATATTAGAAAAATTTTCTCAACTGATATTTGCACAAATAAATTAATTTAGGAGATTCGAAAAGCTCTATGAAATATGGAATATTTAAAAGTATATATAAATAGTCATTTTGTCGATAATTCGCGACAGATGTCGATCGAATATAAAATTACACGTTTTATCATCAATAGGAAAACACAGGATTCGATTATCAAATATTAAAAAGCATACATATTTATTTATTTAAAAAATTCTAAATGAAAGAAATCGAAGAAATTTTTTGCATTGATCATCAGAAATTAAAAATAAAAAAACATTAGATTGTTAATAGATTATATAGTACATTCGAAGTGTATGCGACACTAATTAAACTTCATGTATATCATTCGGACATTTGGGAATTTTATTTTACAGATTATACATATATTTATTTTAATTAATTTAAATCTAGAATCATATGTTTATTTATTTACATCAAACAGTTGATAAAAGCACATAACTGTTTAAGATTTATTTAAAGTTTTTTATTGTATTTTATTTCTCTAGAAAGGTATTCTAATTATATTGTTAAATTAATTCATGTCGTAAAAGTTGTCAGCGCGTACTTTCGAATTTTTCAATTAATTAGCATTACAAATACAAAATAGATCGGCGTTTAATTGATGAGCTTCAATTAATGTCATATTATTCAATATTTGGCAATCGTAAATATAACGTTTATATACGTATGTATAATATATCAATTATAGCGATATACCTTTTGATCAACTGGCGTATCATACAAACATATATTTTTTGCGAGATTTGATCAAAATCCGAGCGGTCGACAATTAAGCGACGATCGTATTTCCGCGTATTCCACTCCGCGAATGTTTATCTTCGATTTCGATGAGTACATTTATTTTTTATGCGTGTCATGACAGGACAATAATTGACGTAAAACGCGTTCATTGTCATAAAGTAACATAATACCATATGTTTTACTGCTCGCCCGAATGAACGGAAAGTGTACGAAGGTGCAGCTGAGAGCCGCAGACGCATATGTATCGCTGCAACGGTGGTTGCACTGCTTTGCTCCTAATGTGCGTGAAGTTGGTCGCGCGGCTTTCAAACTGCCTTCGCTTCGCTCGACACTCGTCGCGTACGTGGAACTCGCTCGCTCGCGCGCCGACTCGAGCTGTAGCGTCGCGTGTTCGCGGATCTTTTCCCGCGTTGACACTCCGACTCTCGATGGGAAGTGAGATGCGCGTCGTGTGTCGGGAGTGCCGTATAAAGTACCGCGCGCTCGTTGTGTGTCGATTACTCCGTGCGATCGCCGTAAACTCGCCGTGCTTTCGCGAATGTCGTCGTGCGAAACGCCACGAAAGCGGAGCCATGGCGGCGCAAGAGGCGGGAGGGGAAGACGGCCCGGGGAGGCGTCGGGCAACGCAGAGCGGCTAGCATGGTGAGTGAATTACTATTTGTTTTTCCATTCTTTCTCGAAGAATTAGCCTTAATTAGTGTGCGGCCCAATCTCGCTCCGCTGTGAAATTGTCTTTCAGTTCACACCAGAAATATGGCAATTATGATCTAGTACGTCGAACTAATTATGTTTCTAATATATCCGTAAAATGGTGTATTTTATTGTCGAAACGGAATCGTATCTGATATTTGAGCGTCAATTAGCCTTATCGACGAGGTATTATATATTAAAAACGGCCGTCCAATAAGGCAAATTTTCGTGACTGCCAAAATGACCCAAAATGAGTCCGGTAGGCCCGGGGGGGTAATTGAAGAATGGTGACATTACCAACCATTTTGATTGTACCGAGGATAACAAACGATCACTATTTTATTGGCTGAAAAATTTTATACATGAATTATTTTTCACTGTCGATAATAAAATAGTGATTTGGTCATAACGAACATATGTTTGTTATCCTCAGCCAAAATGGTTGGTAATGTCATTGTTCTTCAATTACCTCCGGGCTCACTTGACAGTCGACGCGATCACGGAAATTTGCCTTTGCTCGTCTTTAATAATGCTCGTCGGTGGCCCGATTTAGGATTCATTGAAGAAGTTATTATTTAAATACAATCAGTACAAGATATTTTTTAAATGGATTTTTAGAATAAAATAATAATGCTCGTCGGAGGTCCGATTTAGGATTCATTGAAGAAGTTATTATTTAAATACAATCAGTACAAGATATTTTTTAAATGGATTTTTAAAATAAAATAATAATGCTCGTCGGAGGCCCTTAGGATTTATTGAAGAAGTCATTATTTAAATACAATTAGTACAAGATATTTTTTAAATGTATTTTTAGAATAAAATCTAAATCGTTTTTCCGACAGAGATCGTTTTACAATCTTATTTAAAATATGTATATATTTTATATTATTTTGAAATATTTGAAACATTTAATAAAATATTAATTTAATTTAATTTATATAAAATATTACATTAATATTATAAAATTATTTTTTTACATAATTATTTTACATAATATTTTATCTTTATATGTTGAAGAGTTACAATTCTTTAGATTATCTAAATAAAAATTGAAGATGTTTATTTATCAAGCTTCAAAAAAGCTCATATATCTCGAAAGAAAATTTTGTCTTGAAAGTTCTTTCTAGTATCTAATCAAAGGATAAATAGAAAAAATGATCATAAACATGTACGAATATCAATTACATATTTTTGAGGAGAAAATACTTGATAGCCAGAAGGAGTGACAGAAATATATTCGGTTTATTTCATATGCACCATCATGTATTTCACATTTAGCTATTAGAACTCTTTTTTTTTTAAATATTGTAATTTTGAACGATACATTTACATATACGTCATAAACACATAAAGTTTTACGCTGGGATTAACTCTTTCGGCAGAGGTACTTTCGACTCAAGGCCAGACGGCCGAATTTCTCTTAAAATGTGCGATAGCTCGTATATATATGCATATATTTGCCATCACTTTCTGTGCTTTGTGAACATGCGTCTGAACTTCCTTACAAGGCAAAGACTCTTACAAGCTATGATATGTATCTTTTTTTGTGTGCAGTTCACAATACTTCCTTAGTCCAGTTCCTTAGCCCGACTAATTACATTAATAAGAGAAAGAAGATATCCAAGCAAAAACAGAGAATTTTGAGAAAATGTATACATGTGTGTATATAGATATATATGTATATTTATACACACATATACACGTATATAATATGTATATTACCTATATGCCATCTATGAAATTATATATAGATTATAATATATAAAATATTCGCAGACAATTATATAATATTGTTTTATACCTAAGGAGGAGATATGTCCTACAAGATATGTCATAAATAATTATGTTTTTAACATCTAATAAGAAAATTTCTTTCTATTCATGCTCTTGCGTAATAATAAAGTTTTAAATTTAAAATATTTATAATATTTGTAATTAATTTCATACGTGCAGTCTGATGGTACTGTACGTAATTATATAAAAGAAATTTTTGAGATCTAAAATATACTATTGATTATTCATACTTCAATACACATATCATACAAATTATAGTATTACCCAAATAAAGACATTGTATAATTTTCGACGTATAATTTTTAATTAAAATTGCAAATTTATATGACTAGTCATCGATCCGCATTAACAAATAATTTTACGTTCTGTAACATAAGACAAGAAAAATGTACGCCTAAAATTATGAATAAAAAATTACATTATAAATTCACCTCAGAACATTACGTACATATGATACAGCGAGGCGGATATATGAATGTGTGCGTATGTATGTTTGTATATATATATATATATATATATATATTATATATATATATATATATGTTATTATTTTATAGGTATATATATACGCCTTTCGAGAAAATATATGAATATTGTGTAAATATATAGAGCTTAGATATACATACGGATCGAAGATAAAAATATAATTTCAATAGGATCTTGTATAATTAATATATGATATCTTGTATAATTAACATTCATATTTTATAGAATTCTCTTAAATGCATTAGGCATTTCGTATGATATGTTTTGAGTTCTCTTACACAGGTAGATTAACGTTTCCGGAAATATCGAGAGACAGTAGAGGATTGATAATATGTCTTCAGGGGCGATTGTAGCACCAGTGGCGTGGAAAGCAGCGGTTCGCTGAGAGATTTTTCTCTTCACAATAATAAGATAAAGAACAAGTTATTACGGATACTGAGATTGGAGCATTTTTATCATTCTTGTTTGCTGTTGTTGTTATTGTTGCTTGTTGTTGTTGTGTTGTGTTGTTGTATGCGAACGCGATTTCGAAAAACTCTTAACACTGCACTTCCCACGATTACACTTAAAACATCGTGCAATCGGTCTCAAACGATTATTATTTAACATTATACTTTCTCTGACGACATTAACGATTAATATTATGATGAATTTTTCCACAGAGTAATATTTCACATAACAATAGCCACAGATATGTATTGTATATTTAGTATTACGATTTCTCATTAGTATAATTAATAGAGCGATTTCCGCGATATTTATTATTCGACAGAGAGTGATTTCCGCGATTAATGTTTAACAGAGCGATTTCCGCGATTTTTAATAACTTCCTCGTCTTGGTACTTGCTTGGAATTTTATCTTTGTGTTTAAACGTTGAATACGCACACCTACATTTTGCCACTAAGAGTTTAAGTGTCTCCTTTTTTCCTTCGTTATGTGTATATTTATATATAACGCTATATCTCAGAATATAAGGTAGAGCGGAGAAAAATTTTTTCCCTCTTTGATATGCATCGTTTACAGTAGTGTAATAATTCTCCTACATTCTAAAATATGTCGTTTTCCAACTCCACAATTGTGACTTAGATTACAGAGTACAATATACACACCGACACAGTGTGCGAAGTTTCTTTTGGAGAAGGGTAGAGATAAATGTATTCTCGACGTGTAGAGTCGAGTTAAACGTCTAAGTACGATTCCTAAGGGTAAACTCGAAACATCAACCGTATTATAATATACTTGCGCCTCTCTCTCTTTCAGTTCTCTTCCCCCAGTAGAAAATATTTCTCCGTCATTAAAACCATCTGAATGACACCTTGCGTTTTCTTGCGACGTCCGCCGGACGACCGTGTAAAATGAGAAAGGACAAATAAATAACTTCGAACTGTGCGTTTGAATAATCAACGGAACGTACAGTGGCAGACTTATGAATAAACCTAACCGGTTTCTCGGAGCTCATTAGGGACTCTTAATTACTGACAGCTTCCCAAATCGTTCGGCTGATTTATGACTGTTACATATATTGAAACGTTTATTAGCGATAAAGTGGAAAACGTTTTCGTAATTGAAAAAATATCATTTGTTAGAAATGTACTTATTTTATTTGTGTCATAATTCCGCCATTGCAGACGACTTTTCTTGTCACGTCCCGCTGACATCTCGACTCATTAGAGTCTCTCGAGCCTCAATTAAAGATGTAAGTCAACTTGCAACCGTTGATAATCTTTCTGTTCCTTTTAGCTGCATTTTCTTCATTTTATTCAAGATTGCGAAATATTGCATTTCATAAATATGTAGAAGTTCAAAGCGCTTTCTAAAAAAATCCAAGGAAACATTTCAAATTTAGGAAACGTCTTTTTTAGAATTATTTAACTGTTTTCTTAGATTTTGATTGAGTTTTCATTTTAATACATGTTTTAACTCAGAAGCGCTTCTTGTATATCATATTCTCTTGCATAAGATTATTTTTGTTATTATTAAATTAGAAATTATTAAATAAATTTTGACTTTATGATACGCAATGAAAATATATAATGAAAATATATGAAAATGCAGTTGAAAGGCCTTTTGCAATTTGAATGATATTATCATTTGCGGTATCGACATCGAAAATTCTCAAATCATTGAAGAAAATCCCATTTACGATACAATGACATTGTTGTGTCAGCGTTCGTGCTCTATTGTTCTATTGCTTTAAAAAGAAATTGCTCTTGAAAGACAGAAGACTTTGACGAAATATCCTACAGATTAGCGTAACGAAAAATATTGTTGATTAATAGAATAAAATATAGTCTAATATGATACTGCGACGATAACAAGTACTCCACTTCTCCCTTTGTGCACGCCTCTCATTTATATCTTATTTCTACGACCGTGACTTACCGCGAATAATTAAGTGCTCCACTAATCTCCCTTTCTATAATTAAAAAAAAAAAAAGTTTAACCGGTAGACCAGTAGGTAAACCTTCATTCGAGCTTCCCTCTATACCATTTATATTATACCCTTTATATCTTACTTCTATATCATTTAAGAAACATCTTTGTCAAACGGCGCTCTTATGCATCAGCGCACTCTTTCTTATCATAACTACGCTAGCGTGTCCCTTATCCCTAGAGACCTATTTAGACGGCTTACAATGATATGTTATAGGTTTTTCAGTCGCGCTATACTCGAAGAAGGAACATCTTCGAAGTAACATCTCCCCGAGTAACATTTAATTCCACTTTTGTTCGCACGCTATTCGTCATACTTCCCGGTGTATCGTGGCGTGGAGTTAGAGTTAGGACTAGGAAGGAGATCGAGATAATATGTCGAATCGACATAGACTTAGACTTAAGGTATCTTCACAACGACTAAGAGAGGATTTGATTTTCTTGTAGCTTATCTTATACTGTATACTTTCCATCCGTCGTCGTGATGATGCGCGAGCGTTTAGGCGAACGGCATCCGCTTGTACAGGCGGTTGCCCTGTCCGGTGATCCGCTTCTCGCCGGAAGTGTATTGGATCACGGACTTTATCTGATCCGTCGCTACCGGGCCGATGCAAACCAGAGGGTCCTTGAAGTACGAGCATACCTGCCGAGATATTTCCACAATTGTTAGAATTGTAAAACAAGCGTTCTATTTGGCGAGATTATAAGATTTTACATTAACAGACGAAGAGTCATCAAATATCAGAGAAAAAAGTTTTTAGACAAGATATTGATAAAAAATAAATTACATTTTACAGGATTAAATACACCTGAACAAAACAGCAGAATTTAAAAAGATTTATATTTGCAGATCAATAATGATAAGATATTTCTTTTAACACGTGCACAACTATGCCAAAGAAATAAAAATTTTTTAGAATTTTTTAGAATATTAAATGTAATTACGTTTTACAATTTACATAATAGATACGTGTTGTTACCTTTCTAGGAGTTTGCCGATGTCGCCTTTGTAATTGGCAGCACAGCCCGCGGCCGATGTCACACTCGCTTGACATAGTGCACTCCTCATCTGTAAGTACACATCACATTTGCACGATAGAATCTTTTCATTATCTTACAGAACTACGTTCTGTATTTTAAAAGAGTAAAATATACGCTTTGTCAACGCACTGTATAACTTGTTCGAAGTGGTCGGCGGTTGACACGATTTTGTTTCGCGTCCAGGCATTTCGGCACACATTAAGCCGGTTTCGCAGTCGCTATCCCGTCTGCAAAGCTCGCCTTGTTTCATACCGAAATCGTAAATGCATGTTCCAACAACTGAAACATCACAATCGCGATTATCCTTTTATCGACAATTCAAAAAGTATATATGAGAAATAGAGGACCTTTATTATTTTTTATTAATTGAGAAGTGTTTAGTTAATTAATAACGAGAAACTGTCAAGTGGGGGATGTTTTTGACTTTGATTTACCTCCGTCGAGATTCACGCAAATGGATCCCGGGCAACAGTGGTCATTGTACACGCATTTCCTCTCGTAGCATGGTTCTTCCGTTGGTTCGACCCCTTCGTACATGCCACCGTATCCTTCCTGAAGCGACTGCTTTGTTTGAAATATATAAATTTAAGATCCTAAATGCAGTATTTAGGATCGTATACGCTCAACAACGGATTTTGAGATACACAAAATAATTTATCAGGAAAAATAACAAGCTGGATAGTAAAAAGACTTGTTTTCTTTTTAATTAATAATTAAATAAAATAGAATTGTTTGTTAGAGTAACTTCGTAATCTACAAGGAATGGTATTTTTTTCTTTGTTGATTTCAGTTTTGTTTTGAATCCATTTCTAACTATCTTACTCGTGTCCGTAGTTTTGCTGACTCAATGTTATCACTGTATCGCGTGATGCTTTTCTTTCATAAAGAGATCAAGTGTGAGTTGAATGATAATGCATTTAATGCCCTCTCGCTAGAGATTTATTTATGCATAATCTTGTTTAGAATATTTTGCAAATTTACTATTTTTCAAGCAAATAAAATAAGCAAATGATATAAGCAAAATATTGATGCGAATATGGAAGTGATAAGAATATATGAATAAGAAAATATTGGAGTAAGAAAGTATGACTCTGTATTTAATAACAAGAGAAATGTAACACTTAATTATACACGCGACGAAAAGAATTATCTGACTTAATCTGAAATAAATAAAGCTGCAAATTGAAATGTGCGCGGATATTATCGCGGGCTTTCGAGTTTGCCCGGAAGTTATAGCCCCTATTGCAGTTGAAACGTAGTAAAAGTTTCTATAGCAGCAGTAATTTCGCAAATATCGCGCTGCGGGGGCGATTCTGTTCAATCTCCGGATCGCAATCTCGCGGTTAATTCGCGGCCGAAGAAAAGCGAAATAAACGGCGCCGCTGGAGAATTCTTCTCGCGGTTACACAAGTGCAAGTGCACGCGGCTCGAAAATGAAGTATCGATCGTGCGTGACCTGTATTGCGGCACATTGTGTTGCTAATTAAATCAAATAATAAAAAGTTCAAACGGCGTTTAAAAAAACTCAGAAGGGCATCTAAGTAAACTGGAAAGTACGTACTTTAGATTTTTATCAGCCTACGTCTGAAACGTATTATGCGAAGAATGCTTAAAAGATTAAAACAATATTTGAACTTTTGTTTAGTCCTTCAGATTATTGAAAGAAGTCTGAAGGACGTCTAAAAGATTAAAGAATATTTTGAACTTTTAACTTTGACGTCTAAGATATATTTAAAGAGCACCTGAAAAATTAAGATCGGTATTCGTAAGTCTGTTAATTCTTATTTCAAGATCCGTCTTAAGTATGTCTTAAGATGCTCTATGATTGATTCATGACATTTTAAGATTGTTGACTTAAAACGGTTTAAAAAAAAAGTCTTAAAGAATTTTTATATTAAGTGTCAAGATTTCCAGGCCGTTAAAAAAAAGCCAATGAATAATGTTTTTTTGTACTTTCATCTTTGATGCCTAAAATATATGTGAAGGACGTTCGGAAGATTGAAATGTATTTTACACGTTTTTACGCCGTTTTTACAAGTCTAATGATCGCGGCAACACACAATCGTTACTTTTTCAAGGGCAAGGTCGCTTTTCTTACCTGCAGTAGTCCAGGACGGTTCATGTAGCCGCCGTGACTGCCGTAGCCGAGGTTAGACAGCATTTCGGGGCTAAAGCGGTTGAAGAGGCCACCCCATGCCTCGACACCGATATACGCCGTGTTTGCCACAAGCACTAACGTTATCACCGCACACGCCTTCATGCCGTTGGAGATGTACTGATCTTTGGCGCTCTGTAATCATCCGAGAGAGAAAGGGTATTCATCGCGTTAAAATCGATTTAAATTTATCAGAGAGACTCGATGCAACACTGCACATTATTGAAACGTAAAGAATATTAATTTATTACGTATTATTGCGCAAACACTTGCAAATGCATTATTTGTATAATTATTCCAAAATGATCGGAGAGAATAAATCTTTGAATCTGGAATTTATTGAAGTATATTTTCTAAGCGTGTGAAATTTATTTTATAAATTTCGCAATATAAGTATTCTCATAGAAATTCTCAAAGAAATTTGAAACTCTTTTTTAAATCCATAAAATTCTGACGGTTTAATTATTTTTTTAATACATAAATTTTTTACTATTTTGAAAATACAGCTGGCAGTAATGTACTGAAATTAGATTTGTCTGAAAGGCTCTACGTATAAGTAGATTATATTTATGACGTTGCTCGATGCAGGTCGCAAAGATAAGGATAAAAACAGAATATTTAAATTGCAAAACAGGACGAGGAGGAATTTGTTACCGTTTAGATTGGAATGAATTTCGCTCGATTTTCTCTTCCTCGTATTTCTCGCAAGTACATTTTATTTCCGTGTTGTTTGTGTTGGTTTTGTTGCAAGCAGCGATCCGTAAGACGCAGTTAGCCGTTAATATTGAACCCGTTTTACACGGCTTATCATATCAAATGCCGGTGATGTAATGCTTTTACTACTTTTCTCATAGCGATCTTTTCACGGTTGCCAGTGCGGTTTCATAATGCAAAAGCGATAATAGCATCCTCCATGCAAAGTCATCGATATTATTACTCTTATATTGATTTCTTTCGTAATTTTATTTCTTTCAAGTTATTTCTTATGTGGCATTGTTAGTAAGGTTCACTAAAGTTCACTATTAGTAACTTCACTGTGGTTCACATTTTGCATGATAATAATAATTCGCCGCGATATTAATTAAGCGGTATTAATATTAAAATACGTTTAGAAGCAATCGGTTGTATTTGTTTAACATAAATATTCAAAATTGATATGGTAGGCATTTAAAGAAAATTGTTTCATATATTATATCGTGATAGAAGCTAAATTGAATGCGTCAGAATCAAATTGCTTGTAAAAGATCGAAAAATGTAACGAGCTACATTCAAATTCTATTTCATATTTAAAGATTAAAAGCAATTTATGACCAACATATGATATGAATTACATTAGATCAATTCTAGCAATAACCTCGAATAATCGATATAATTCTTGTTTCACATTTATCTCCCTCTTGTCTCTTTTTATTCGCGATGAAATTTATTCGTAATATTTAGTGCATTATTTATTTCATTTATAAAATATATTATTATTTCATTTATAAAATGGATTGTAGATAAAATAGTAATCAGTAAGTTTAATGTGAATTTCAATTAAGTTTAATTAAATTTAATTTCCGATTTCTACAGCTCAAATTATATTCTTTAGTTTATCAAACTAATTAGGTCAGAAAGATATCTTAACACTTTTATTTTAACTTCAAATCGATAAACCAGTTAATTCTATGTTGATTGTATATTTTAACACTTTAACGATAACAGCTTTATCTAGAAGAAACATCGAGAATTCGTCTTATCGTCAAGGACAAGCTTCGAAAAAAAAAAGTGTAACATGCAGGACACTCTGGTGTTTCGTTCCAAAACACCCACAATGCAACGTCTACAGCATCATGACACTCCGAACATCGGAAGCACCCTTTCTATTGTCGAATTTAAGCCATGATTCACTTACGAAAAGTTCTTGCGCCCTGGCTCAGCCTGCCTGGAACGCCTTTACACCTCGGCCGGGCAGGATTAGCTACCCCTCGGTAGGTTCACACAAGCTCAACAAGTCCCCGGTGGAGTTTGCTGGAGGACTGAGTCCGTGCTGTGCTCGCTTCGGCAATCTATACTTCTACGTCGTTCCGGTTACCATCACACGGGCGCATATACGGTGACGCATGCGCCACCCGCCGCCGGCCCGTCTTCTTCTTCTATCTTTTTTTTTTTTCGTACCACCCTATCGCGACCTACGTGACATTTTGTTCATTCAGATCTTCTGCTTCCTCCATCCAGCGAGATAGGCTGACCGAAGGAGCTACTCGAACGAATCAAGCACTCATATTGACAGACGACGCATGCAGCATCGATAATGACGTGATCGAGTGCGACAATGGTATAATGAACCACTGGTTTTTCATTGAAAACAAGTTTTTGTTGGTTTTCGATCCAGGAATATCCAGCTAATACAATACCCTTTTTGCTGCTCGTGAAAGAAAAAAAATCCACAGTTTTACGTCGAAATCTCGCGATAAACACAATTTTTCTGATTCTCGCACGCGCGTACATTCATCCCTTTTTCTTTGCAAATTATTTATAATATACGCGATCTCTTTTGGGATATCGCTGCGTCGGCAAACGGATGTTCAAGAATTGCGATGTTCTTGTAACATACGGAAGAATGAGCAATGCACGTTCTGCGAAAGGTCAGAGATAACGAGTAATCTCGCTCGCCACTCGTGCGAATCCGACTTTGTGGGGGGTTCGTTGTATGTCACGGGATTTTTCTACCCGCCATTCTTAAATGCCCGCCGTTATATTTATCTCAGGACGTATCCCCGACAATCATGACAATCGGGTATTTCTACTTCGCGCGCCAGGACACGTTCCCTCCGTTCATCGGGCTTACCTTGCTCACTCCTCCTCGCACTCCTTACATCACCGCTAGTTTCGTTCTCTCTTGGCTGTATTGATCCAAGGTATCCTGATGTGCTCGCCGGGTGGTCGCTCCTGCTCCATATACTTGCCTTATGAATCCCCGCGTGCTCTTTCACACATAACTAGATGATTGCGAAGCAGAAATTGCCATTCGACAGCCTCGCCATTGTTTAACTCTTTCGAACCTGAACTCATTAAGAGATGAAATCCGAATTTTTCATGAAAATGCCTTGATATGATTGTCCATTTTTTTTCTTTTTTTTTCAGAAAGCTATAGAGTTCTCAAACTAGTAATTGAACTAGTTTTAATAGTTCTAAAAATTAAAATGATTTTTATTGCTTAAAAATCTTAGTGAAAACACTAATAAATAATATTTTTTTTTCTTATTTTGAGGAAAGTTCTTATTTAAGGAAAGTTTATTTAAATATAATATAAACGTAGTTAATATAAACTACAATTTGTACTAGTTTTATAAATATTACAAAATTTTAATTTAATTATTACTTTAAAAAACTTATAAATTATAATCAAGCATTTTCCGTACGATGTCCTCTACTCCTTGAACTTTAATCTTTTTTGTAACTAACAATTGACCTTGAATTCTAATGGCAGCGTTATTCTTCCTTTTTCCTGAAAAGGGCATTCAGTGAACATTTTCGCGGAGGAGGAGAACGATGAGTCCGTAGACGTGCGTAAATCTTTGCAGTGACAGGTCGCAAATACGCTTACCGTCTGCGATGCAACCACCTGTGCGACGAAATGCCAGAGTACGCAGGCGAGCGCATACATGCGTCCTCGTGAGTGCACCGGGTCGCGTCGTGTGTGTGTACGTACCATTAAATCGCCTCACTTCTTTCCGCTTTGACGTTTCGCGGCGTAACTTCGAACGTTACTTTGGCCTTGCGTGTCGCGGATAACAGGTCCCAGACTTCCGAGAAACTTCGTGTCCACTATGATGGAATATAAATGTATATTGTCTCGCGTCGTAAGAGCATGCACGCGCACGAATAAGCCGGGAATGATTTTGTATGACGAATACTCGTTTAGTGATCCCAATTACTTACGTGAAATTTATTCTCCTCTCGTACGTGGTCAGCTCTGACACGCCATTCAATGATCCTTTAAATCACCGCGCCCTTTTCCAACTAAACGAAAATACAACGCTGGCCGTTCCTACATGATTTACAAAATTTTCGTTTAAAATCAATCCAATTAATTCAACGTGTTAAATAATCTTATATCACGTCTGAAGGAATTTTTCTTTTGTGTATTAAATAACATTTTCCAATATGATTTAACATTAATTTCTCTCTATTGCGAAAAATTTTTATTCCGTAATATTCACTTATTATTTCTTATAAATTTTATCAATCTTCTATTCAAATATTATGAACTTAGAATTTATACTCTGTGTAATGTGTTCTAGATGCACAATCAAGAAATGCATTTTCTTTCTGCAATTGATACACACGATTTCGTAATTTCTTATCTCGCGAGGTTTACGAGGAGACCTATATTATCAGTTGTAATGCAACACTAATAGTGATAACCGTACTTCCGAGGAGCTTCTTCTACCCTGAATAGCCATATGTGTTTTACGCATGGCATAACGTATAATAAAGATTATATATTCATAAAGATTCTAATCGGTAGCACGACATTTTGTTCCCCCTATCACACACAAGCTGCATATTCTACTATTATCTCCCCATTTATCACATAGATGCACAGAATTAATGATTACAGCATAACGAGATGGCAAGGGGTTGCTCTAAGATTAACTTATTGTTAGAAGATATTTAACAGAAAGATATATTTTAGAAATTAAATATAATGGAAAGCCGTAGTTATTTTATAAAATTTTTTTTATATAATAAAAAGCGATCAAATTTTTGAAAAGCATAAAATGTTTTGCCTTTCGGAAAATTGTAGAGAACCGCTGGAGGCGTATTGTGATATTTGAATTTATTGGATATGATTTTGAATTCTGAAGTGATTTCCAATTTTTACCGTGGATTGCGAACATTATATAGAATTAGTACCGTAAAGACAGGTGCTTCGTGGTACATAACGCTAACGTTTGTAGATTTTTATCAGTGTCATGACCTTTCAGTTCAAGCACGTGCCAAACATGAGCGAAGAAAGATAGGAAGCACCGGAAGCAGCGACGTTATCATCGCGATGACGTTGTTCATATGTAATGATGATAAGTATATTAAAAGTTCGATCGATTTGGAGAACATTTGTCGCTATTTTTAATGAGAGCACCATCTCGAGGACTGCGTAATATGCACGGCGACGTGACGTCAAATAGTCGTTGATGTCTTTTATTTCCGTGCGCGAAGTGTTGGTGGTGAATAAAATAGCATGTTGTTATCGTATAAAATGTATTTAATAAATAACATCTAACAATAAAATAAATAGGGCTTGCAGCTCGTCTTTATCCATTTATGTATGTATCACAGAGCCGGCGCGAATGTTCACGGAGTAGGCAGAGATATATGTCAAATATTCGAAATTCATTCGTATAATTCATTCATATCCAAAATTTGCTCATGTGTTTTCGATGACGAGATTGTTATGCTGATTTGAGGTATCATCAATTTGGAGTCGACTTTTCTTTAATTAGAACTATATTAGTCAATCGTTTCTAAGTTATGAATTATTTTTAACTATAAGAATTCTTTTGTTAAAGATTTTTGTTAAAGAAATGTCGGTTTCAAATTAGTGAAAGGAGTTCGCTATATAGAGTATTGACGTAAATCGTGAATTATTTGCGTCTGTTTCTTCGATCGTAGAAGGATGTAAAGGAAGCGATAAGAATCTCCCGATGTGATAATAGTTTAGAATTTTTGATAGAACCTCTAAACCCACTTCAATGCTGACTCTGCGAATACGTATACACACGCATAAGGACGAATTTAAACATTGATACGCATAAATGCAACTTCGGGCACTGGTCACGTGCCAAGAAGCAGTGTTTTGCCGCAGACAGTTTCGTAGAATTCTATTTCGAAATTTAAATAACTTCAAGTTGATGAAACTGATGAGATTCAAGTCGATGAACTGTTGTTTCTTCATCCTCCTCCTTTTTGTTCCTCTCTTCTTCTCTTTCTTCTTTCTCTCTCATTCTCTCCTTCTACAATGAAGTTTACTTGCTATAAGTTGCTGCTGTATATGCAAGTGTTACTTCCATTGCGTTGAACGAAAACGTTGAAAGAAATAACGGCTACGTAAGAGAAGGGGGCGTCTCGTTATTCAGAAATCGATACAGCCCTCTGACATTCAAGTCCAGTTACATCTGCGGTTGTGTTACTTAATTGAGTTTCGTACGTTTCTATCTCGAGGGGAAATAAATTAAGCTTCTTTTGTACATTTATACAGAATGGCATTCGGTGCCGCTCGCGTAATTACTACGCGAGAACGTGAGATGACGAACGCGGCCCAGCTTCTCAGACCACTCCGGTGACGCTGTGCAGCCAGGGCTTGAAGAAAGTCGTCCTCATATACACACCCGGTAGATACGGAGCCGCACATTTAATGCCGTGAGAAACGGTCCCGACTAGGAACCATCTGCCGTCCGGTCGTTCCATCACTAGCGGGCCACCACTGTCACCCTGAGGAAAATCATTAACCGTTGTCTATAATTGTTCAAGACCTATGTTTTTGGCATTAACGTTGCGGGATGTAAGATAATTGTTTATTGCGGCATACAGACAATTTGAAAGGACAATAATTAATCGTCAAAGATTCTTTCTTTGAAACAACAAAAATCTTTCTTCCTTTTAAACAAAATAGTGAAAAACAAATAAAATTCAAAATGAAAAGCAAATAAATATTATTAAGAATGTTGATATAAATTTTCCACGTGTGATCGATAAAGTTATTGCGTTACCTAGCATTATAGAATTAAAAAGTGGTGCTGATAAATAAAGACAGGATAACAAATGCGTTTGATATTTCTCTCTAGAATGAAAAATAACACCTACGACAGAAGATCGAGTAGATTGTATATGATAATACTGATATTATAATATCTAACTGAAGCTTCGCACGTGCTGCCGACAGAGTAATCATATTATTTGCCATAAGATCAAAGAGGCACCGCTAACAGCTGGAACAGTTAATAAAGCTAATGGAACACGGTAGGGAGAGCAACTTATCCGATTACCTCACAAGAATCCTTCTGGCCATTAGCGTATCCAGCGCAGAGGAAGCTATCCAAAATCAATTTCGCGTGATCGGCGGTTTGGAACATCTCCTGGCAAACCGAGTTCTTTATTATGGGCACTTGGACCTCCTGCAGCACCGACGGCACGCCACCATCTATCGAACGTAGCGATACCGTTAGTAAAACCTTGACGGCGAATTGACCGCACGGAAAAGAAAGTCACGTTAGAACCACGAGCAAAATTCGGGCGCGTAGGAGGCTGTATACGAGAGTCATCGTGAAAGTTGTTACTCTGCTCTCGTCACGGTAACCTGTTTCATTTTGTACTTTCTAGTCTTGCGGGAAATTTATCGCATGAGTCGTATGTGCACAAAGGCGTTCGCATTTTATAAATTGGGTGAACGAAAATCGATACTCACTGTATTTAAGTCGGCCCCAGCCCGTGACTGTCGCCATTCGGCCGGTGAAGTCGATGCCTTCCTCCGGCATGCAAATCGGCACGATGTGCTCGTCGAACTGCACCGGCGACTCGAGCTCCAGAAGCGCCAGGTCGTTCTCAAATGTCGCCGGATCGTAACCGCGGTTCACGATGACGCGGCGTACGTTTTTCGTTACGCTGCGCTTCGACTCCAGCTCCCCCGAAATGTCGTATTCGCCGAACACCGCGACCAAAGAAGCCAGGAAGCTGCAAACAGTAGAATAATGCGATATTTGTATATTTTTTTTTCATTTGACGTTAGTTTAGACAGAATATCCCGTTATTTAACTCAATACTGCAGTTAAGAGATTGATAAAAATTGAAATCATAAATCTAGACATTAAATCTTCATATTTTCATATATTCTTCACGAAGAAAAATAATGAAAATTGTTACTTACTCTTATAGCGCGAAAGAGAAAGAAAGAAGAAGAGAGAGATTTATATAAAGTTAATAATATATTATAACAGTTATATAGACACACATAAATGAATTGTCTGTATTTTACCAATTTTCGGTGAAATTTAGAGTATAATTTCTATAACTTACCCTGGCTGACAATGGGCCGCTGTTATCACATATTTATCAGTGATAAGCACACCTCCGCATTTATTCTTCGTGAACAAGCCGAGCCAGGTCGCCTCGCGAACCAAGACCTGCCATGGCCATTCTCCGAACTGCGCGCCTTTTCCGCCGACTATTTTTCCCGATCTCGAGACCAAAGGTCTCACGCCGCATTCTGTTATCGCAATAAGTCATTTTATGTTGACCGTAATAACAGTCGTGACAATTGCGATTAATAATACACATTTTTATAAAGGATTTGAAACAGAGTCATATGTATGAGGTTTAGTGAAAAAGTAGAAAAGAAAACATGATTCCGATTTAGATGTTCGGATCTTTTATTTGTAGAATTTTTTTTACAAAACCTTTGCGAACTTGTCGACTGCTCACTTACGAGTCCGAAAGTTGGGTACGGCATCCGAAGTTTCTGCAACGCTGCTTTCGGTCGTGTTCAGACTCTGTTCTTCTAGGATCGCCTCCGTGCTACTGGCCGGCGCAGCTGTCGTGGTTTTCCTGGTCGGCTTCGTCGGACGCCTCGTCGTTACTTGGGGCCTTTTTGTCGTGGCGTTTTGCAATGTGCTCGGTTTAGGTTTCGGAGTAGTCACCTTAGTGGGACGCGTGGGCCTCTCGGGGGACGACGGTTTCTGTGTGGGCCTCCTCGTGGTCGCGGATGGCCTCTTCGTCGTCGCCGACGACGACGAGGACGGTCTAGCTGTGGGCCTTCGCGTAGGTCTTTTTGTCGTGGTGCTTCCACCTGTCGGTCTTTTCGTTGCGGTAGAAGATGTTGTTGAAGTTGTCTCCCCGGTGGCATTTCGAGTGTAGACCATTTCTTGCAGATTCTAAAGAAACAAGCGGGAAAGAAGAACAAGTTACACGAATTCCAGTACTCTGTGTGAGAGACAAAACACACGTTTATTTAGCTTGAATTGTTTTAGCTTTGTTATATTACTCGAGCAAAAATAACGTATACAGAGTGCGTAAACATTTTCAAAAGCACGAGAGAGAATAAAAAAGATTCAAAGGTAATGAGCTCTCAGCGTTCTTTAGTTAAGTTTAAAAATAATGAGACGTTAATGTAAACTGCGTTTATCCGCTCGTATCGCTCAAAGCACTGAAAGTTAAGCCGTGTCCGTGTAAAACTCAAAGCAATCTAAAACTTCGTCAGACAGCGCGGAGTATAAAACTCTCTCGTTGATAAAAACAAATTATCTTGTTTACCCCAAAGGTACCCTGCAGCGACTCGACCAGCTTGTTAACAAAAGCATCGACTTTGTTCGTCAGCACGTCGTCCTCGACGAACGTGGGCGTCGGGATATCGTGCTCGCTGATCAGCTCGATATCTGGATAGCCGGTGTTGTTGTACGTCTCGACGATCGTCGGCTTCTCCTGCTGCGAGATCGGCATCGAGATGTTGAGATTTGGATTCCGCACCGGCGGGAAGTTGATGAGGTCGTCCGGTGCCGCAGTCTCGTCGTCGCAAGGTGCGGCGGTGGTAGTCCTCACGGTATCTTTGAATATAACATTATTAACCGGCGTCAAGTTCGACCAATTATTGACGCCGGACGTCGACGGCCTCAGATTGAACGTCGGTTTGCTCGACCATGAGGAAACCGTGGTCCAAATCACAGGTCTCTTCGTGCTCGGCCGATTCTTCGTGTTTGAGGTTTGCGCCGCGATCGCCTCGGTGCTGACATCGACCGTCGGTCTCGCGCTGGTGCCGTCCTTCAGGTTGACGCTGATATAACTAGTAGAGACCACGTTGTTGTTGTTGACGTTGGAAATGACGGTGCTGATGTTGTGAGTTATGGTTGTGGACCCGCTAGGCTTCTTGGTGATTAGCGTGATGGGTCTAACGGGAGTAGTTTTAATCGAAATTGAAGCGGGCCTGATGGTTGTGCCCGAAGGCTTCCTCGTAACAGGTTTCTGAGTGGTTTGCGTGGTAAAGCTCGTTCCAAGCGGACCGAGGACTATCACGGTCGGCGCCGGAGGGTTCGTCGTAGGTCGGTTGTAAGTGCCGCTGGAAGCGTCGGAGTAAGTTTGCGTAGCCGGTCGTGAACCGTATGGGCCGCCCGACGTCGGGTGATGCGACGTGTAACTCGTCTCGGTAGGCACGTGCTCGTAGTTGTAGTATGTCGATGAAGGTTTAGGCTGTATGGAACCAGGTTTGTAAAAACTGTACGGGAAAGTCGAGGATGCGGGAGTTGTGGGTCGATAATTCGAAGAACTGACTTTGATGTGATGAGTGGGCTTCGAGGTCTCGTCAATACTCACCCAGGCCTGCACCGGCGAGGAATTGGGAACCGGGAGTGTCACCGATACGTCCGAATTCGGCGTAGTGTCGTTCAGGATGGAGATTATGTGATTAATGGCGATCTCCTCTTTGTCGAGGACGTCATCCTTCTTCTTGTTGCCCGACGGCAAGTCGTATATAATGGTCGGTACCTTCACCAGATCGTCTTTGATACTGGAGGAGGTCATTGGTGTGGTAGCTTCGATCTTTATTGAATCTGTCGCCATTTTCGTAGATATTCTCTTCTCGACTGTGCTCGTCTTCTCGAATGCCAGCGGTGTGCTAGGTAGATCACTCGTAAGCTTTTGCATGTTGGTGTACATCTGAGTCACCACGGGCATATTCGTTACTGCGGATGTCGATTTGGGAGCTTGCGACGTGGACATCATCGTAGAAGATTCAGGCTGTTCCGAAAATTTGATCCACGTGCTTCCATCTTGCGTGGCCTTATCAATCGGCATTTCAGTGGAGGACGGCCGGAAGATCTCGTCCGGATTGTTGATCTCCTCGAGCACCGTACCGTTCTCATTCAGTAATATCGTCTCTGGATCGCTATGATTATGCTGGCTCAGTCCGTGCGAGAACAACGCCGGAAGTTGATCGACCGGGTCCGCTATTTGCAGAATCTGATCGGGACTTAGCAACGTGGTGATTGGTTTCGCCGCCGATGAATCCTGACTCTGGATATCATTAGAATCTGAATTCGTCAACAATCCTGGTAATCTCAGGTCATCGATGACATTCTGCTGACCCAAAAGAGCCGGGAAGTCCTCGGCCAAGTGACTTACGTCCGCCTGTTGGGGCAATTGTATTTTTTCGGCATTGTTTGCCATATCGGGCGACGATAGTGTCGGCGAAGAGACTTGATTCGAACTCGAGATCTTCGTGTATATCGTTTCGCTGCCGCTCGAGATGGTCGGCTTGTCGGTCTTCGTAGTCTCTTCGCTCGGCGACACCGACATACCAATCGGCGTGCCGTCCGGATTCAGCAAGATAGGTATGTCGGGTACGTGGTCGAGCTGATGCATAGACGACGCATGATCGAGAAGTTGCTCGGCCTCAGACAGATCGTCGCTGCCGTTCGTCGTGTTCTTCGGCGGTAATTGGCAGCACGCACCGAAAAGGAAGCCGTCCATGCAAGCGCCGACGACCTCGCCGTTACGCCGTGTGCATTCGTAATTAAACATGCATATCGCCGGCTCGTTCGACTTGATGCGCGACGGCAACGACGGCCGGCACACCTTCGGCAATATCGTGTAGCCGCCGAACAGTTTTCTACCTGAAAAATAATTATAAAGAAAGATCAATCCTAGGATTCATGATTTTTCTCTTTGCTTCGTGCAAAATTAATTTAAGAAAGCATAATATAATTCACATAAAGCTTACACGATATTCTTCTAAATTTAGCCGTTTATTTAATGCGCATATAATGTTAAAGAGTTTTCGCAATTTCTAAAGATACGGTAAAAAATTTATTTTCATAAAATAAATTATCATCGTAGCATGTTGCGAAGAGCAGGCATCCGAAGTTCGCTCCGGTTGGTATTTGGGTTGCGGAAGAGTACCGCGTTCACGAGTAACTCGAGACACTGCCCCAAATTTCGGTTCACCCTTGAAGAGAAATCGAATATCGGATCGAGGATTTATTGGTTGCGATATGCAACCTACAGTGGAGACGTTAAATAACCGTTTTCGCGTCGGCCAAAAATATATGGATGTCGTTTATCTTGCAACGTTTCCGTTTTAGCCACCGATGTTGCAATAGAATGCACGAAGCAAGAAGAGTATAAATAGACATTGATTCAACATTCGCGTAGACATTGATTTAAGAAAGGAGAGCGAAAGGAAGATTATTTCTTCAAAAAAATTATCCGCGCTCTTTCGTTATAATTCCCATACAGATTTGACGATATCCGTTTCTCCTGCTTGTTTTCTCTCGAGCAGGCGAGAGAAAATATGAATCAGCGTCAATATTGAGTTAATATCGGGATACGGCGAGAGAACGTCGGTTACGAGATTCACGCCCGCCTGCGCGTGTGTGCTGTGTTTGCACATACGCGGCTATCTTTTCCGGTTATGCTTAGCTGACCAAAGCATAGACGAGCAGGCATGTAGGCTCCGCCGCACGTGTCTTCTACACGCTTGCACACTGCCGATATATGATGACCTACTCCGCGATCCGTCCGCGATGCTTGTCTGGATACTCGCGGCTGGCGTTCCAGATTTTTGCTATGCGCGAACTCTCGCGCGTTTTACCGATCCACCTTATATTTATCAGTCTCGGTATGCTACATTCGCTCGCCGTTTTCAAATAGCATGTACCCACAGAGAACAAACGCCTAAAGCTCGCGATAAGGTTGTTTGAAAGACGTTCTACATTTCTCGACATCTTCTAGACTTCTACCTTATGTCTTCTACCTTATAAACGTCTTTTGCATTTTCGCATTGTGATCATATACGAAAAAATACGTGAAATAAATATCAATACGGTAAATGTGAAAAAGTAACAAAAATAATATACCTATGAAATAATAATACGCGCGGGCAAAATAAAAATTTTCGCGATAAATTCTTTATTTATAATGTTAGAACAAGGTGCACAAAAATATATAACGACAATATCAAGTTATGGCAGAAGTTTGAGAAAGTTTGAGTTCTCAATTGATTAGAAACTTGATGATTAAATTCATCATTTTTATGTGGGCCTCTGATACGCAAATATGTTCTCGCGTAAAATTTGCATATTTTTTTGCGGCGCTCGTCGTGATCGCAGACAACTCAACTTTCTTTTCTACGCGACGCGGAAAAGAGGCGAAGGGCAATTTGCAATTTAGATTAGCCGCGGGATTGTGCACAGTGTCGCGAAAAATGGGTTCACTATACGTGAGCAGCAAAAATGCGATTATGCTCATTCTGGAGCACGTAAAGCGCGCCAGTTAGTGGACAATCTGGACAATCTTTACGAAAACACGATGCGCACGCAGCTTGATTAATTATCGCGAGAGGTATGACGTAATGGCAACTAGTAAATGTTCGTTGTCGATATTGTATATACTATATATAATAGAAGTTCATTTAAATCGAGAGAACTTCGTACTAAATATTGCACGCTATCCAAAAGCTGCGCAGAGAGCTTCGCGAATTATTTATGCGAGTTAAATCGAATCGCGCTGCCGCACGAACACTTCTCAAGATTTACACTGTTTCGTATGTAGGTTTGTCTAAATTATATACATTATGCCTTCACATAGAGAGAAGAAGGGGTACTAATGCAGTCAGTAGTTTATTGATCTCAAATCAATAACCGGATCGCGAGAAAATGAACACCTTAGAAAATACTTATTAAGGTGTTAAACGAGTATCGCGCATAAAGATGATGATGCACAATTTCCTATGAGGTGTGTGTAGTCTTTTATTTATTCTATCCTGTAGCATACCGCAACGATAAAATATATGTTGAGGACAAAATGTATATGCTGGGGACAAATAGTAGTAATAATTAACTCGTTACGGTTAAACTTTTCGCTCCCGTATGCATTTCCCCACGTGTATTTCCGCGTTGGCGAAGCACAACGTACGCTTGGAAGCAGATAAGATAAAAGCAGCTAAAATAATACAGGTATTATTTAATGCAGACATAAGTTGGCATTATTAAAAAAAATTCATTATCCTATTTCATTTTTGTACTTTCAATGCGTGAAATTTTTATCATGCCCGGAATAAATATGACAGTAATTATTAGTAATCGATAAAATTATTAAGCTGGATAATCTGTTATAATCCGTTATAAATAAATAAATAGCGACTTATTACCAAAATTTTCGTTGCCACGTTTTCAAAATTTTATGTGCATATAAATAATTCAAGATATATATAATTAACAACTTATATATAATTAACAACTTGATTTTTTGTGTATATTAATTAAACTTTACGAGCTTCATTTATGCCACGTATGATTAGGTATCAAGAAAGCGTTTGACTTTTGACAGATCCCATTAGATTGATATACCAAATGAATCGAAAGGAATTTCACACGCTGCGAGAAATGTCATCATAAACTATTATAGAGCTGTAAATGTCATCGCGAACCGAATGTCGCACGAACCACAAACTCTCTTGACACAAATCAACGCGCGAAAGTGGAGAAAGGTGAATTTCTGATATATAGGGCAAAGTCATCGCTAATGAGCATTCAAATGTATGGCAGTTACATGTTTGATATGCACCGGCTTGCCGGAATTTCGAACTGGGAGAGAGCGTCTTTCGGATTCACGGCGTTGAAAACTCGACGTGTTCGATAGATGATATTCTAAAATTCGCCGTCAATAAAGAAGAGTGTCCTAGAATTGTCGTCTTTTGCGTTTAATGAGAAGCTTCAAATTAATCTTCTCCTTACAGTTGTCTCGTATAGAATACATTATCGTCACTTTTTTAATTTTTAATATTAAATATTAACGCTTAAATTATAATTTAATTTCTATTAAATTTCAATTTTGTTTAAATTAATTCAGTTATACATTAAAACAAGATTATTATTCATTTATATTTTCGAGATCAAAGCTATCCAAATTGCTTGTTATAAAATTACACGTTGTTATAAACAATCACGTTTAATAATTCGATATCACCGTCGCTAAAATGACTGTCACGTTTTGAAGTTTATATTTGTAGTTTCTCCATAAATACGCCAATAACATGTATAATTGAGTGAATATGGAATGCCAATATATTTGGAACAATATTGCCCCGACGACGTGCGTCGCTTTCATCTTAAATGTCGTATCTCTTAAAATTTTCATGTGTTTTACACAGACGAACTCGCGGATAGACACATCTCTCTTGCGACTTTCGAGGGGAAGGCGCGAGACTTTGTAAGTAGAATACAGTGTCAATATTTGCCGTGCCAAAAATTCGTAAAACGCGACGTGTTAAAACGTAAAACACTGACGAGAGCGGCTTTTCTCCGACGACCCTTGACCTTCCTCTCACGCTCGCCGGAAGGGACCGAAAGCGGCGTACGTGAGACATCGATATTCGCGCAGCTCGGCAGAAAATCGAATTTCACCTCGTCTGTACGCTCAACGCGCGACCGGAATAAATGGCATATGGCGAAAAGCTTCCTCCTCGGGCTCCACCTCACTGTTGTTGATTTTGCTCAAAGAAAGACGGAAAGTAGAATTCGGTGTCAGTAATGATCGCTGACTTTAACATATCATTTGGTATACGAACCACGGGCACTGGCATGCATGTTAACGAGAATGCATATGCGAGAACAATTTGTAAAAGTAGAAATCCGAGTTTGCCTCGTTTCTGTGTTACTCACGTATTCATAATCTTTTAACGTGGTAAATAAGAAAGATTTACTATGCGGAAAAAGATGTGTTTGAAAAATTATATAAGTTATACTGGTTATATTATTTTTGCGTTAAACAAGTTTCATTTTAATTTTTTAAATATATGTGGGATAGAGACAGGGAGAGAAGGAGAGAGAAAAAGAGAGTGAGCACTTATTAATGTTCTAGGGCAAGCTTTCTAAGAACAAACTGAAACGTAATATACAGCAAAAGAAAGCAAAAATGTCCAAAACAAGAAAAAAATAAAATTAACATATACGCAATGCGCAAAAGAAATAACTGAGAAGCGAAAGAAAATAAATATGTATAAATAAAAAAATAAATAAAGAGAGAAAGAGAGAAAGATACACTAATAGAATATTTATCTGACAAAAATTAAGAAATATTCAAATACATTCAGCCATATTTATTAAAGTAAATATGTGAAGTGCAAAGTATTGTTGTAATTACCTTCATTTTGAAGCGTCCAGGAGTGAGAAAAGACGCATGTCAGAGTAAGAAAGATGAACAGCAGACAGACACCTTTCCTAGCAACCATCTGTAATGAAAAAAAGTATTTTAAGTATTTTAAATATATACTTATACTAGTTAAGAAAAAAAACATATTCATCTTGAAATTTAGATTAGTTTTGTCAAAAGATTAAACAGATTTAAAATTTAAAAAAAATTCTTATCAAACTTAAAGGTAGCTCTGCTTTAAGTCAACTCAAGTTAATTTATTTATAAAGGCGGCCCTTGGCACCAGCTCAACAACGATCTTAAAGTACCCTTCAGTTTTAAACCTGACTTTGAGAGACATAAAATGTGACGCAAGAGATATGCGCTTGATATCCACGAGGAAAAGCGGATATAAGTTACTTATAATTTTCTTTGCAGATACGAAACATGCTTATCCTAACTATTAAACGCGCATTATGTCTCAGCTAGAAAATTTCTCCATTCTCATGATGACACATATGGATTCAAGTACAAAATAAGTGAGAGATAGCATTCGTATTTTTACAGAAGATATTTATTCGATCATTTGTATCACACACTTCTCTCTTTTCAAGTACCTTCTCTCTTATCAAGTGAGCAATTTACGAAGATAACATCTGCGTTGATTGACGCCGAATAGAGATCGCGGCTGTTTTTTTAGGTTCACCTTCAACCATAATCGGTCAGCAGCCATAATTTCTCAGATCTGATTACCAGATCCACATATCGGTATGTATATTTGTCCCTCGTAACGGTACAAGAATATCAGCTTCTCGCAGGCCAGAAAAACTGGCAGTCGCAAGATGAGTCTCGTCGCGAATTCTCTCAATTAATTTTATTTTACGAAATACCAGTAGCTAATTTTGCTACACAATTTGCATGCATAAAATAACATTTATTAATCGAAACTCAGCTAGATATGCAGTAACTTAATTCCAAAAATTAATTAAAAACTCGAGTGGCATAATATACTCGTAGATAACATAGATAATTATTATTCATCTAAAATGGATATTATGAATGGTGATTACGATATTAAAACCGAAGATAATGAAGCGTGCATCATTACGTCAAATGAAATTATTAGAATATTAAATTTAATTTAATTATAACGAATATATATTTTAAAACAAGTACTATGTATTTATCACGTATTTACCTTCAAACGTATTGGTGCCGATTTTGTTGGAAAACATTTTCATTGCACGATAAAATATGGTTTATGCTCGATTCGATGTAGCATGTCATTTTAAATTATAGTTATTGATTCACACATGAACAGGCGAATCCAATGGCTAATAACGCTTACAATGGATGAATATATAAAGGGTTAACCAATATTTCACAAACATGGATCATTGCTCCTATATCGCGTAGGTGTATGCTCGCACACACAAAAAAAACGCAGGCAGTATATGTAACCGTGAGGGGCTCTATTAATAATTTTTGCAAGAAGCAAAAGGTCAAAAAAGGTTTACAGGAGCATATTATAATTTATAAAAATATAAATTTGTAGCTAATTTAATCTAAGAACAGTAACGATAAAAATTAGCCAACATAGAACGAGATAAAAGCAAGTTGATACTGTTAAAATTTTAAGCGGAACGAGAAGCGTATCTTTCAATTCGCTTTTGTCCCAATATTCGAAGATTCCCTCGAAATTCCACGAGTACGGCGTACACATACCTTTCACACGCAAGTCGTCAAAATGTATGAGGAGCAAACATCGTCTTGGACCTATGTATTGCTTCCTCCTTGGAGACGTTTCACGCTCACAGGCAAACACGAGCGCGCACATACGTGTACGGGGCTGCATGCGTGTAGCCGCGGAATCCCGTTACAGTCACACACAAGCTCGACGTACGATAACCGTGGACGAGGCGGAGGAACGGGAACGAGGTATCGGAGGAACCTGAAGGTAAAGAGACTCGCCGGAGATCTTCGGCGACGGAGTAGAGAGACCTTGATGAACGAGACGAGGAAGAACGGAGAGTCGATGAGAAGCGAGGATACGAGAATGAGCGGCCGTTGGTCGCTTTAACGCAGGTTCACCAAGACACTGGTGACCCAGTTACCAATTCGCCGATGTTCTGTCCCATTCCCACCGCGGCCTTATTAACTCATTATAAAGTTCACATCTTACACCGTGTTATGCAGATTGTTCATTCATTCGTTTAAATCAACGTGGCAATGAAAATATGCGTGCCTGCAGGTTTCCAGATACCGCGTTCTGATTTTTAGAGTTCTGAATTTTTTTAAATTTCACATGTATCTCAAACTCAAAAAATTCAAAATCTAATGAATCTAAAATCGAGGAGACGCGGCGGTATTAATATTGCTTTTTATTGAGCTCCGTGGAGAGTTAAATTGTAACGACGACGGGGACAACTATGAAATATAGCGATTGCTTGGTTGCCAAATGGTGGTTTCGATAAGCTAAGGTATGATAATTTTCGTCTATGTATGGTCCGTTCGTGCCGCTCTGATTTTTAATGCGATCCGTTAAAGCGAACTGTTGTTCCACACACAGACACGTGAGTTGATATGACTATTAATACTCTCGCCTGTTAACCTAAAAACTACGGAACATCCGGTCGATTTATACGATGCCGATTAAATGTACCATGATTATGCTAATTTTATTAAATACTGGACAATTATGTTAATTATATTAAATGTACCGGAATTATATTATGCGACGCGCATTCGCATTTTAAATTATGCCGCTTAATCCACTTCGATATCAAATATATATTTAAAATAAAATGTTTCGAAACATATTAGTCAAGTTTAAAGAACATTTATAAACGAAACATTTTACGACGATATTTTTATCAATTAAGAAAATTTATAGCGAGCGATAAAGGATAATAGATAATGTGAGATCTAAAGAAAGATAATAATAAATATATATTATTCCATTTTACTTTTTTGCATATGTAATAAGAACTTTTACGATGCAAATGATCGTAGATTATATAAGTATGTAATATGCTTAACTATATTAACATAATCCATAATTATAAAACACTCTAGTTAACTATGATGTTGAGCATAAGGTTAAACATACACTTCATTATGCACGGCTACCTTGATTCAGGGTCGATTGAATTACGATAACGCGTATATCGCGTAATAGTTGCACACGTTATACGGCTTACATCGTGAGAACGTTACACCACCACATTACGCTGTTAACACACAAGTACCGAGCCTTTCGTACGCCCTACGTACGGCCGTGAATACGCGGAAGCCACTTTCGTTGCAGGTGTTTCGTTTTCGCGCAACATTTTCCGGTTGTTGTACCGGCGATTATACCAATCAACTCGAGAATTCAACGCATTTACTTCCAGCAGCATCTTCTATTTCACTTTTAGTCTCTTTTTTTATATCATGAAGTATTGTCAGTTATACGATTATATGATATATATAATTGTATTATATGTATATACGTATAGTATATATACGTGATATAACAATATATGCATGTATAATTAACAATACTGAAAAAGAAGATAAGACTAAAAGTGAAGTGGAGGACGCTACTGGAAGTAAATACGAATTCTCGAGTTTTAATTGGTATTGTATATTTTTATTATTTATGCCAAATTATATACATAAAACTTCTCGTTGCTCACTTCAATCTGCGCTTTCGTTGCTACGTTTATTGATCGCCGACAACGTAAAACCGCGACGTTGCATTCCCGCGGACATTACTTTCCGGGCCTATCTGCCGCGGCGATCAATGGTAAACGAGTCCTCTCTCTCTTTCTCTCTCTTCTTCTCTCTATCTCTCTCGGCGTGCTTTACTGCCGGCAGAAAAGGTACACGGGAGAATTCTCTCCCGGTGAATCGGAAAAATGTTTTCAGGAAAACACGGCAGGATCTCACGTTCGCCGCGAGGATCCGCACGCTCGTCACACGGAGGATCCTCGCCGAGAGGATCCTCCAGCCAACCTCGACCTCTGACGAGGCGCGAATCAACAGAATTGAAAATTCTTCCGCGTTCATTGGCCGTCCGTCAATGCTGAGGTATCGTGAATGCAAAATGTACGTGCGGCGTTATCCATATACATAGATATACACACACGTGCAGAACCTCGGAGAAAGCTTAGTTCGACGTGATTGGATCTTGATTATTGGATCTGGGTGACCCGATTGCCTCAACGGGGGAGCTTCCTCGTCCTCGACAACCTGTCGTGAAGATCGTCAACGATTGATGCTACGATTAACGATCGATCACGTATGCGTGGGTGATTGATGACGCCGAAATGTCCATTAAGGCGTTAATTTAACGCTAAAAGTTACGACAGAGACCAATGATCCTTATTTCAAGTTCAGCTCGTTATAACTTTGTTGATATAATTGAAGATCTTTATAAAGTAAACCCGTTAACGTTCTTGAATTTTTGTACTTGAAAGAAATTCTAGAAATGAAAGAAGATATTTCTTTTTCCCTCGCGAGCTAAAGAAAGATTTTCACACTCAGCCTCGTTTTCGCGATTCGCTTTTCGCGGATACACGGATAAGCGCGATTTGAATTAATCCAACAGGTCGGAACGTCTTTGGCCTCCATTTTCTTTCCGCGAGTGCAAGCACGAGCGTCAATTATCGAGACGACGGTGATTAGCGAAATAATCTGAGAAAGTAGGGAACCCGTGCCATTCGAATGGAACACAGAAGTCCGCGAAGTGACCGCGCGAAACTAGACCTAGGACGAAGATGCAGACAGCCGCTGCTTTCACTCGATCGTTTAAGACATTTCGAGCGCGATCGTTCGTGCAAAACCGATTGATTCCTCCTGTGCCCGTTTCAACACGGAAGACTCAATATCCAACCGCCTCGTACGAAGCATCGAAAGTGATAGCCGGTATTGTACATTAACGTGCCAATGTCGATGGCACGAAAAGCCGCGTAATCATTTGTGGTTTATCAGCGCGATTTTGTTAGAAACTTTGTTAGAGACTTTTTTATCTAAAGGATAGAAAGAACTGGAAATTCTGTTTTTACAATAAAAATTTTATAAATTAAATATTTTTGGATAAAAAAATTTTACAGATTGAAATTGGGTCGTTTGTTTATACGTATAATTTTATGTTTCATAATTTTTAAGGTGTAATTTTATAGATATAACTTATTTTTAACTGATCTACGTATATCGTTAATTCCTACGCTAATTATAGAATCTATTTTATTTATTAAAATCAAAGAGAGTTCAAAATATTTTCTCTGCTGTAAAAACTATGGAATATGTTGAGACATTCATTTGAGTAGGAAAACCGCGATTTACGTATTTAAAAAAAAAAACATCAAAAATTAATTTAATTCTTTTTCCACGTGAAATTCTCATTAAAGACGAATATTTCTGTTTGTGTATTAACTTTAAAAGACGCCATGTGTTACAAATGCAAATCTTTTTCTGCGGATTAACCGGTTAAAGGCGTAGAAGCGTTAAATGCGCGAATGAGTCTACATGATTGGAAAGAGTGACAACGAACTGTCGAAGCCTCGACAACCGTTACGACCCGCCACCACATACCTGACTCATGTACACATTGGACGTGCACGTGCGTAAAGGATGTACGCGTTAGGTGCTGCTAGGGGTCAACATGGAAGATCTATCGTCCGTTCAAAGAGTATCTCGTCAGAGGGAATTGTATAGATCCCTCTAAAAGTGAAAATATCCCTATCGATTTATTAATTTCAGAAAACTAATCGACCACGATTTTTTCATGATCTCTCTTCTTAGGTTTCACGCGCGGAGCCTTTGATTAATTAAGATACGGTTTAATTATTGCATAACAAAAATAACATATGTAACAGGGAATAAAAGGATTAGGTGTCTGGAAAAACGTAGGTAAACAAGTAAAAACTAAGGCAGAAAAACATTGACCTTTTACTTGATTTTCCTAACAACTTGATAATATTTACCGAGCATAACTGTGTTTACGGCACGCTTAAGATTCGCCAGTTTTATGCGTGACCGTTGCTGCGTGCACGCACGAAACTGGCGAACGTAAAACTGGAAGCGCTGATTCGCGCGACGCTGACTTCTCGTGACTCAGGTGTGTGCGCGCTTCACGGTCGGTGCATCTCGCCGCGCGTCTCGTCTGCCGGCAAACGAGGGCAAGTCCGCGCGGCGAGCCAGGTCGCCAATACCTGTTACTTGCGTCATCGATTTGTGTGCCGCGGATCTTCCTGGCAAAACTTTCGGCGTCTAGCTCGGGCAGACGCGTCGTGTCGGGCGCGTGCACGTTTAATGACGCGTGGATGAGGGATACGGGAAAGGGAGAAAAAAAGCTACGGGACACGAGAGATTGAAATACCGCGATGCAACGGGGCATGCCAAATGTTCTTTTATGTATCGGAATGCATCGTTTTTTAACGTCGAAAACACGGCTTTCTCCCGTTTTCACGGTCAAATTACTATCCGCGCGATTACGCTGACTTTCCGATCCTGGTTTTGGTAGACAGTTCGATCCCTGACGTCGATATCGAATTTTATGCCGATTACCTCGCATTAAACTTTCTCCCGTGAGAACAAATTTATTGTCAACTGAATGCTAAATCATATTTTCTTTTATATTTATTGTTTCCATGAATATTAATTTAAATTAATTCAATTTTCGCAAATAATTTTTGCGAAATTTTAATTTTTAATTTAAAATTTAAATAATTTGCGATGACACATTTATGTCACATTTAAAATTTAAAATAAATTCTTTGTAAAGAGCACTTCAATTATTATATTACTAGCAATATTAATATAATTTTATAATCAATAAATTAATTATAAAATTGATTGTTTTATTTAATAAAACTGATTTTGTTATATGATAATCAATTAATATATCAACAACTTATTTAAAGAGAATTTTATATGTTATAATATAGATAAAAATTATTATGATATAGTTTACAATTTTATTGCAATTAAACAAAAGAATTTTGCAAAAAGATAATTTGAAAGTATGTCTAAGAGTTGATTTATTGCATAGTAGATACTTGAAATGAAAGGTCAACGCCAATATTTATATTTTATCAAGAAATTCAATATTAGATCCAAATTTTAATATTTTAAAAAATATGTGATATATATATATATATAAAAAGAACCTGGTCTTTTATTTATATTTATTTCTTCTTTTATTATTCTTTTATTATTCTTTTATTATTCTTTTAAGATATGCACGTTATCTTTTTTCCTTTCTCATTTTCTTTCTTTTCTTTCATAATTATTTATATATGATGCTTTTATTAGCGATAATGTATAATTCACATTCTCTGCTAAATACACAGAAATTCGTTAAAAGCCCCCGAGTCGAGAATGCAATGCATCATGAAGATGGAGCAATTCCTCGGGTTGGCACACGAGGGAAATTATCTCGCGCTCGTTTCACCGGCCGCATCATCGATCAAACAACCCCTTAAGGACCGAGCCACTTACCGTGCAGCGCATTAACCTTGGTGCAACCGAGAGGGCACGTTAAGCGCGTCTCATAACGTTGTTTTAATTCCGGCAGACGACGGGGTCCGCTGTTCCGGTCTCGCTTTCCGCGCGAGAGAGGAAACGTGACCTTGCCCTTCTGTCGTGGTCGGATCGTCCCTTCCGCGTGGCTTCCCCTTCAGAGAGAGATCACTGATCTCCTCCGCACTTCTTCACTGAACTTGCTTGCGTCTTGCCAATCGATTCGCCGGCATGAATCGTGCCACGCTACGTACGCGATCTCAAATTTCGAACCGGTGCACCGACCTCGCGTGTCTCGATCTCTTCTTATCGCGCGCGTTACTGCACTCGTCGACCGTCAGCCTACAGGCGGCATCGGCGGTACCAGGATTTCGTTCTCTCGCGGGACTAGCTGCCGAAACCGGTCGCACTTGGAAAATCTCTTCTCTGTAACTCTTACGCGCTCGCACCGATCTGTACCGCGCGATCGTCCATCCGGCTAGCAAACGGGATGGTACCTGTCTGGCCGTCGTACCTTGTGCCACGGCATGTGTTGCTGGAGTCGCATGGCTAAGTCATAAGCGGCGCCTTCGACGAAGATCGGTGGTGGTGGCCGATCTGATGGTGGAAGTCGTTTATGGTGGTGGCAACACAACGTTCGACGGAAGCCGGGTTTGGCGTAGAAGGGGGGGAGGGACCGTTTCACGGAGGACAGAAGCCGTCGAATGCGAGTAGAAGGAGTCTTGGGGAGAGGGGAGAGAATCGTCGGGGAGTAAGACAGAGAGAGAGAGGGAACCAGGAGAAACCAAAGTGGGTCAGTGGCCAGGTCACGTGGAGAAGAACGGGGCCCAACGTGCAGGACGGCGACACACTGTCCTACTCATCCACCGGCCGCTCTTGGCCGCTCCAGGTTCTGTCTGCCCATTCAGGAAACGCTTCGCGATACTATCGTGAAAATGAGATGCGATCCTACTCAACATTTTCTCTCGCCGCTACTCTTCCCAGAAAAGAGAAGGAAACCGTCGGATGGAAAAGCCAAATAAGAATCGCGATGACAGCGTACAGATCAGCTGATAAAATGCCATGACAAGGCTATATACGAGTTCGTCAGCAGGCGCCATTCTGTGCTTGCATTAGTATTTGTATTGATATTCATGGTTATTCAACAAAATGTCACTTAATAATAATAAAGGCAGCAAATTGAACAATTAAGCAATTTAAACTAACTTGCGCGCTACCGTTTTTAACTAAAGATACCAACAAATACAATTTAAAAAATGGTTGCATAATATCACGCTATACTGATTCTGAAATCTACTCTGCAAGTGAGTGCTCGCGGAAACAGTTAAATAAGTTTTATGCCTTTGGGGTTTTGTTCCGCAGAAAATACATTTCCGACGGCAGAGTTAGAACTCTAGTTGTAACATTTGTTCTTGTCTCTTGTGAAACGATGATCGTTAAGATATCGCTTATAGAAAATGTTTCAGACTTCCCGCGTCTCGTTTCATCCAATTATTTTTTAATAAAAATTATGAACGACAATCTTTGCGACAAGTAGCCGTCCATCTGATATTTCTGTAATAATAACGGCAAAAGAAATTTTACGTTTCGTAATTAGAAAAAAGGAGAAATGTGATGCGTATTGCCTTTGAATGCGTCTGAAAGAGATAAATGAGTTTCCCTTAGCATGATAATAAAAATTTCAAAACACTTCGTCTCCGTCGTAACTTACATACTGAGAGAAATACTGAGAAAGCAAACGGCAATATTCTTTGTAAGAGGAAGAAAAATTACATGTGTATCTGAATATAATATTGGAAATGAATTCCCTAACTGCCGTTTGATCTTCAGTATTGGACTATTGTTAGCTTGACACGGCAACCTTGATGGTTAGCGGCGCAATCCAATTTTTAATTAAAACTTATTAAAATTCACAGTTTTTATAGTTTTATATTTCAACAAATATTTTAACGAATTTTAACAAACTATCGTTACGTGTGTGATCAATCTCATATATTGTATTTATTTATTTTTATTTTTGTTTTGTAAGTTTTCGTGACTCTATCATCGCACTGAAGATGATACTTGTTACAGATCGAATTGTTTTGCGAATCATTGTTCTACAATTCAGTTAAAATATGTTATACTAATTACTACTTAAAACTAGCTTGGCTTGTTAGCTGCTTTTTACCCTCTTTTTATCGAGCCTTGAAGTTGTTTATTATTTTTTATTCCTAAAGTGTGTTGAATTTAAATTTTTAGCAGAAAGATAATTCTTTGACACGCTTGTCTAAAATTTATCTTGAATGTGCAATTAATTCTTGATCTTTTTGCAATTAGCAGCATTTAATATCTTAATTTTTCTCTTTATGCGCGCACGCGAAGATCTCATCAGCGGTTAATAATAAACATCCAATTTCCGGTATCTGCGCGTCTTTGGTTTCTCTCGCCGCGTAAGTGTTCCTACTTCCAGATACAAGAGGATAATTACAATAGAGTGCCGTAACGAGTTGTATTACGAGATAAATACAACTCGCGTAGCGCGTCTGTCGTCTGCTTGATATAAAGGTCTGTCCCACTAATGATATTATCTCATTACCGTTAATGACATACACTCAACGGAATGCGGATTATTGGATGAAAATCGTGAATATTTACGCACATACTTTTATATATTATACGTTATATATTATATCTATATCATTATTCAGTTAGAATAGTTATTAATTAATGAATTAATTATCTCGCGTAGAAATCATATCTCTTATTTTTAATCAGAGTAAGTTTCGCAAGTACGTGGAAAAAATTGAGAGAAAATATGACTTTAACCAGCTGGGAGAGTCTGAAGTACCTCTTTTACATATCACATATTGCAATACTGGGAAAAGCCCGAAACTCACGTATATTCTTATTACCATGATAATGGTACTGCGAGCTGCACGCGGAAATTGCAATACCACCTGATTTCGATTACTTTCGAGCTTTCAGCGTGCGCACACACCGCGCGAAGCTGACGACGTAATGCGTTGGGATTGGGGGCCACAATGTCGGCAAATTTGCATTACTAAAACCTAGCTTTGTGTCGTTAAATATTTATCGAGTAATAAATTTAAAAGGGCAGAAGGGAGAACGTAGGCATTATATAACGTTTAACGATCTTTTTGCTTAATTTAATTTTCATAATACATATAACTATGATGTAAATCTACATATATATATCATTAGTTGTTATTTTATAATTATTAACCTTTTTTATATGTACACATGCATGGCACGGAAAAATAGCTATTAATTTTACATTAAAGAATATAATTTACAATGTAATAATTAATTAATGCATTAATTAATTAATACGTTGTATCTTGCATATTAGAAATCGTTCTCCTAAATGTTTTAATTTTGAACTGTACGCGTACGTTGCTATTTATTGAAACATTCCGTTCACAAAGGAAACAGGTTACTCGTAATCCTATTTGTGTAATCGGAGCGAGACGAAACGTTCGACAAGGTACGCCACAGCTTTCGCGGATAGCAATTCGCTACCAGGAATTTTAATTAGCATGCTGCAGCTGAATTTCACTTCATTTCAGAATCAGATCGTCGTGTCGATTTTAACTGATTAATACCTATGTTGGAACTTATTTTTTACATACAATTATATTATTTATACATAGATAATTACATAATATACAGCACTAAGAGAGCGAGAATAACAATTACATATGACGATTAATAAATCGAATGACTATTTGAATAATTTTGAGTTATCATTTAAAATTTAAAACAAAAATATTTTAGGAGCTGCATAGAGCTACTTTTTTTATAAATTTTAATTTAAGATCTAAATTTAAATAATAAATATAAATTAATTGTTAATAGTGTCTTGTATATAATATATCTGTGTATTATTCGTTAAAAAAGTATATAAACTGCGACATTACTATCTTTTAACACTAATATCTTAATCTTTAACTCGTAAAGGACACATTTCTTTTGAATGGTTTTGTTTAACACGAAATTTGAAAACAATTACGTTCTTTTTTCGACAATTTAATATTACCAATCGATTGGTCAGACAATTTTACATTGAGAAACACATTTTGCTTTGATTTTGCTTTTTATTTTCAGAAAATATAAAACTTTAAAAAAATTCGCTTGGTGCGAATTCGGTGTCTTTTAAGGATTAAGACTCGAAATTAATCTCGAATGAATTAAGACTCTCCCTCTAGCTGTTTAAATCCTTACCTTTTAGCCTTCTTGAGAAGATCATCGCCGCCCTCCAGAAATTTTTTCAAGTTGTTCGGTATCCGCGAGTCGACCGCGGACACGGCGATGATATCGCCTCCCTGCTTCAGCTGGACCCCGAGATGCTGCGGGCCACCGCTTTTGCTTGTGAACTGAACGAACCTGCGAAAATACGTTGCGAAAATACGGTCGATTAAATCGACCGGGAAAGCCACGGGAGCCGGTCGGGATAATCATCGTGCTTCGTTACGTCACGTGTGACCTGACTTTCTAAATGTAGCGCGTCTCTTTTATCATGTCGCGAAACCGCGATAAGCATAACGAAACAGTGCGAACGATGAAATAATTAATTCGCATGCCGAGAAATCATTCAATAATTGCGTACGACAAGCAGGAAACAAAAAAAACTTAAATTTTATTGTCTAATTGAAAAATAATTCTCGCACTATCTTATTTTTTAAAATTTATTTTTGGTAAAATGTCCATGATCAAATAAATAATTTAGCATATAAATTAGTTTCGAAATATTCTCACATACACGTGCGTCCCATTAGGTAAGATAAAAATGACACTTCTCATTAGCATATATATCGCTATGTGTCCGGCGTCTGTGTGCATGTATATAAATGCACGCGCGTAGAAACTTTTAAGTCTTTCAAACTATAGCAATTAATGATTATTTCGAAACGCGTTAAGTTGTAATGACTTGTGCTATGCCTATTTTATAACAATTTATCCATTAGAATACAATTTATCCATTCGATAGGAAAATTAAACAATATGCGTAGTTTTCGCAATTTCGATGTCGAGGTTTTATGTTTCGATAACCGAGTCCTTTGTCGATAAGAATAATAATCGCCGCTCGTAAAATTATTGTTGGAACTAAATGCAACCGACAATTTTTTTCCATGTTAAATTACTGTTTTCATATCATATTGTTAAATTATTTATGAACTCCTCCAATTACGTATGAATAATTTTGCGACGTTAATACCGACTTTTTCCTTATTTATTCTACCTTCTGTATCTCGTATTTAGCAACTAATCGATTTTCATTTCGAGACACGCGTTCTTTGTACGAGAGAAAGAAGATTCGATGACGGATCCCAGAGACGTAGCTCCGGAGCTCTCTTTTAATAGAGACAGACGACGTACGCGTGACTATTGCGCCAGAGGTAGACGTGGACAAACAGCCGAACCGTGAAATCGAGTATCACGAGCGAGCGTGGCAGATCTAAGGACAATTAATATTCACAATACTGTCCTTAGGTCAGTATTGGTCTTAT